CATGTAGTACATTTACGGGGTACTAAACAAACTTCTACTAACTACATGTAACAAAATATGTGACATCTACATAAGCAAGTGTCAACAAACTGCTATGGTGAAAGGGTTGACTGTTGTATTGACGGCCAACTAAAAGTATTGATCAAAACCTTTCAATCATCTACTTACTCTTTGTTTCAGTTTTCACTCGCCTTACATAACCCTTTCTTTATTTCTTTCTTTTCCTTTTTCGTCTATCCCTAATTAGTATACTATTTCTATGTACTCTAATCACAAGTGTGAACGGGTCCATACAGGACTGACAAACAATCTAGAGAATTAATAATTGAACCATGAATCACTAACTTTTTTAGCTCAATGTCGATTCCAATTAAAAACAAATATATATGGTTATTACTTATTAGAAATTCGTCATTTTCCATTATGGGATTTGAAGGCGTGAAATTTTAAGCGAGTTTCAGTTTGCATTCCTTTTGCTTCTCTCTAGAGTTTTTCTTTTTCACCCGGGCTAGAATTTTCAACAATTATACATGAAATTTTTAACAATTAAACATATCAAATAAATAGTTTCCTATTTCTATAAAAAAAAATTAAAAAATTATCATTTTAAATACATCATCATAAAATGAATTAAAACTCAACTATGCAAATTACAGTTGGATACCTAAACTTAATAGATCTTTAGATTTATAAACTAAATTTATTTTTTTGGCATATAAGTCCTTAAAATATTGATGGAACATTACATTTTAGTACCTAATATTTTTTGCAATACATTTCAGTACCTGGACTTTTGAAGTTCTACAAATAGGTCTAATTTTTTGTATATATAATTAAAACGCATATATAGGTATTCATACCCAAATCATACACATTTAGATTATGAAAAGTAAATATCCATACCCTACCCAAAGTCATCTACAAACTTCCAAACCCATATATACGTCCATACTCTACCCATAATCAATGTGTCTAATTGGGTTTAGGAAAATATCATTTATTAGCAAGAAAATTTAAAATTTTAAAATTGGATGTTGACCGCCATATATCTCTTCTCAGTCAATATTACTAACAAAACTGCTAACAAAAAATTAATTTTGGGCTAATAATACTAACAAAACACCATAACAGACCAAATAATATATGCTCATAGGCCATCTCCGTCCTGTGACAAGTTGCGACATCGCCACCTAGTTATATTGAAAATGAAAGCCATATATGCAGTACAGTTAAATTATTTATCCATATTTTGGAGGCTATTCCAACTCTGTAAATATGCGGAAGAAGATCGAATGAGCACCAGCTTAACAGGTGGATCAGCGCACTTCCCATTATAAGGTTGTGTGTTCCCATGTTAAAAAATATATATTAAAAAAAATACATGGAAGAAGGCATGCGATCCTAGTAGTGGTGTCAAATAGAGTTTCTTCCCAATGAAAGAAGTTGCAAAAACTGAATCGAGAAGCAGGTAATGTTAACCCTAATATATTACTATTTCAGCCATCTTCATTTGCTAAATTGATTAATGTTAAGTATTTACAAGATGAAGACGAATTATAATATGCACTCAAAAGTCAAAATCCAAAAAAAATGTATATACGGGTGGGTAGGGGACAATTCGGTCCATATTCATATGTGCATTCCATATTTGCTGGTTGAAGGCTCATACTCGACAAAAAGAAGGATGAGAGCACCGGCGGAGGTAACATTTTAAACCACCCATGTCTTCTTTTTATAACTTAAATATATAAGTATCTAATTAAAAATTATTTAATAAAAAATAAATAAAATTAATTATATCAAAATAATTCATTTATAGATTAAAAATAACCGATTATACAATCATAGTTTTCAGAAACAACGACGAAGGGATTTCATATTGTGAAAGAAACGCAAAAATATTTGTTGTATACACTATTAAATAAGTCTCTTTAGTGTATTTCGCTAAACAAGCATTAGCAAACTGGTCGCCAAATCGACTTGGAAACTTTTTCTCAATATAACACATAGCTGAAAATGCTCTTTTTACACTTGTAGTTGTAATTGGTAGAATCAAAACTAGTGAAATTGCTGTTGCCGTTAGACAACTTCAGGGTTGTAGGGAAAAGATCGAATATGCATAAGGAAAAAAGAGATCTAATTAGGTCTTTGTTGCTATTGGAATTTCGTTTATAGTATAATAAATTAATTTTATGTCAACTTTTGAACAAACAATGAGTTGTGTTGTAGGGACAAATACTCTAATACTACCTATAGATGTTGTGTTCCATCACCCATATAAATATATATGACGTATTTTTGTTCCTCCAAAATTTACCCCTGTCCTGGGACAAGGCCCAAAAAAGGCCTGCCTCCGCCACTGGATGAGAGTAGGGATGGCAACAAAACCCGAACCAATGGGTACCCACCCGACCCCAACCCGGTCAACGTGGGTAAAATCCGTGTTGACGGGTTTTGGGCCGGGTTTGGGTTTAAACCCGTTCACTATTCACCGGGTTGGGTTTAGGTAAACCGGCCCGTAGGTACCCGCCCACTCATATAATTAATTTTTTCGGTATATTTAATATTCTGAACAACTAATCTTATTTATATTTGTGGAGACATGTCTAATATTTTCTTTTTAATTGTGTAGAATTAAGTTGATGTTATGGAGTGGAGAGTAAAGAAACTTAATTGAAAGGAAGAAGTTTTTAATTAAACATGTTATTTATGGATAATTTGTGATTTGCTTCGATTTTCTTAAGTTTTCTAGATTGGTGTTGAACAATTTGTATAGTTAATTTGTGATTTGCTTGAATTTTCTAGAATGGTGTTTTATATATGGATAATTTTGTATTGAGAGATTGATATTTGACTTTAATTTTGATAAGAACTTGTAATTGTAAATTTTTTACGACAAAGCCCGTGGGTACCCATGAACCCGCGGATACCCAACGGGTTGGGTTGGGTTTGAGTTTTTCAAACCCAGTGGGTTTTACCCCGGGTTTTTTTCAAAGATAAACCCATGGGTTTGGATTTGGGTTTGGCAAAACCCAACCCAACCCGACCCATTGCCATCCCTAGATGAGAGAGATGAGATTCATGGGTCACAATGAAACTGAGGGGTCGTTTGGAAGTTGCGAATGTTAAATCGTTGCATTGTAATGAATCACTATAATATAAATGCATGTATTGATACAATGGATGCATTTTAACAATAAATTGTTTGGTTGTTGAGATTCTACTTTATGCATTGATTTACATAAAGTTACTTTTATGGGGAAATGTCATATTTACCATAAACTTTTAGTATAAGACAAAAACTATTAGGGATATAAATAAAAAGAAAAACTAGACACAAATTTAAAAGCAACAATCACAACAATATCAAAAGTTGAGATTGTATAATGTATCATTTTTTGTGATTGTTGGTGGGACCTACCTAAAATAATGCATACATTGTTTTACATTTTGACATGTCCAAACATTGTATTGTGCACAATATATGTATTCGACAAACACAACTCTAACAATCACAACTTCCAAACGACTCTGCGTATCATCGTCGAACATTACAACCCTTAACGCTTCCATTTTCAACGGCTCTTTTGTATTACACAATCCATCTCACAACGATTCACACCTCTCTTTTCCCAACAAAGAAATTCCCATGGGAAATAAAGTCCCTTTAGAAGCTTAACCCAAAATCTTCGGTATTCTCAAAGATCCTCCATACCTGCTTGCCAACAAGAGCCAATTTAAAGAGGTGAAAATTCTTGAAACCCAACCTCCATCCTTCTTCGACTTTTCTAGGGTCCAACATTAATTGTTATAGAGTGTTATAAGATCCATCATAACTTTCTCACAACAACTCAAGTTATTGAGACCAACTGGTGGTATCAGAGCTGGTTTGCCCAAGTGGTCGTGTTCAAATCTCCACGACCCCCAATATTAACAGTTGATTAAAACACAAAGTATGGTGATCGCCTGTACAAACTTCAAGCCCATGGATTGGCTTTCGTTTGAGGAGACGTGTTAGAGAGTGTTATAAGATCTAGCAAAACCTTCTCCCAACAACTCAAGTTATTGGGACCAACTGGGTTATAGCAAACATCACGTTAATGGATTGATCTCTTCTTTATAGAGCCGATCAAAAGAATTTACGAAGAATCGAGTTCATTTTATACGTAAAGGTAAAGAGGAAGAAGTAAACACTCACAATAAAAGTTGGAATGGCTTGAATAACCGCATTCACCAATGTTTCCTTACCATATGGAGAGATGAGTAAGTTATTCTAAGAATTACCTTTCTTCTCTATTCTTTCTTTCTAAAACGAAATAAAAAGAACCGTGTTGTCATCAAAGATGTGGTGAGTAAGTCCTGGGCAGTTTTGATTTAGCTTGATTCCTTGGATAATACCCCTCTCAATTACATTTTCAGTAGAAAAGGATAGAGTGTTAGGCATCAGAATGAAAAGGAACATGGATAAATAATTCCTTTCCCAACTCCTCTTGATCTTTGAAGGATAAGTACACTAATGTCTCATGCAGTATTATAGTTCACATGACGCGTTTCTTATTCTACTGTATTATTAGACTATACAAATGTGCAATTCTTACATACTATCATGATACACAACAAATTTCATGCGTATTAAAAATATTATCGTGATGCATAACTAAATTATCTTTAAAAAATTACTTTTCGCCCAACTAACAGTACTCAAAAGTCAAAACTAGTATATATGCTACACCAATGCATAAAGAAAAAAGAAAAACAAAATCCAAAATGAAGGCATCTTTGAAAATTAAAGCAAGGCTTACCGTGAAGTCACCCTTACCCTAGCGTGTCTCTCAGGTAACTCCTTTGTCCAATAAAACCAGCGCCTTGAATGACATCACAATTTACACATGAAATGAAACTTTCCGAATTTAATTAAAATCCCCCTCACACAAAAATAAAACCTTTCAATTTCATTAATTATTCTCTTAACAGCCAGAGAGAGAAAGTCATCAAACCATGACGTGGCAGTTTGACCCATTCTTCTTCTTCTTCTTCCCTTCCCTTTCATCTTTCCCTCCCTCCTCCTCTCTTTCTCCTCTGGGAAAATTCAACCAATCCAATCCTTTTTGCCGCTGCGCTGACCCACCGAGTCGATCTCAACTCGCTTCCCCCGTCCAACTCAGTCGCCCCTTTTCATCGTCTTCTTCCTCTCGATTCTGTTTTCTCAATATACCCTTTTGGGCTTCTTTCGTTTGAATCTGACTATAACTCCGCCATTTCCAGCTCTTACCAGGTCGCAATTTCTTTCCTTTCAATCTTCCACTCCCTTTCACCTTTTAGACCGAGAAAAACGAAACTGAGTGACAGATAGAAAGAGAAAGAGAGACGGAAACAGAGTGTTAATTTTGATTTGGGTTTGTCGTTGTAAGTCTAGTCAGAGGGTTTAGGTGAAGAGGGAAAGGTAAGGGGGCCATTAGGAGCTTTCATTATTGACTGTGTTTTGTTTATTGTTGAAAAACAAAAAAAATGGCGACTTCTTCCCCTTCCAAGGAAGTATCCTTTCATGGGTTCCATCCCCTTTTCGTAGAATTCCATTGTTAACCCACCACCAAATTTCCTTTCCTTTTTCTCTCCTTGCCCCTCTTTTTTCTCTGAAATGTTAGGCCAGGAGGAAACTAATAACCCCCTCCCTCCAGCCGCCGCCCGGAAAAACTATCTCCGGTCTGTTTCATGGAGCGACCGTTCACCGCGCCGGCCGAGCAACAACCCTAGACCTCACCAGCCCTCGAATCACAGCAAGGCGAGGTCATGTCTCCCGCCGCTCCAGCCTTTGTCCATAACCAGAGCTCCGGTTGAAGAATGGCCTCGGGCCGGGTCCGACGATTTGGGAATCTGGCCGAACCCACAAACTCCCAGAACCGCCGGCGCCGGCGGCTTCCCATTGACTCCTCAGCCGGCGGCAGCTCACAACTCCAATCCTCCTGTGAGGGAATTCCAGTTCAAGAGAGAAAAATTGGCCTTCTTCGACAAAGAATGCTCCAGAATCGCCGACCACATTTACCTCGGAAGCGACGCGGTGGCCAAGAACCGGGAAGTTCTCCGGCAGAACGGAATCACCCACGTCCTTAACTGTGTTGGATTCGTCTCCCCTGAGTACTTCAAAGACGACCTTGTTTACAAAACCCTCTGGCTGCAGGATTCCCCTTCAGAGGACATCACCAGTATTCTCTACGACGTGTTCGATTATTTTGAAGACGTGAGGGAGCAGAGTGGGAAAGTTTTGGTCCATTGTTGCCAGGGTGTTTCGAGGTCCACCTCGCTGGTCATAGCTTACCTCATGTGGAGAGAAGGCCAGAGCTTCGAGGATGCATTTCAGTATGTCAAAGCAGCTCGAGGTGTTACCAATCCCAACATGGGGTTCGCTTGCCAGCTTCTCCAGTGCCAGAAGCGTGTTCATGCTGTTCCGGCCAGCCCTAATTCGGTCCTTCGTGTGTATCGAATGGCTCCTCATTCGCCTTACGATCCTCTCCACCTTGTCCCTAAGATGTTGAGCAATCCAGGTTTGAAAGGACTAGACTCTCGTGGAGCTTTCGTTGTTCATGTTCCTAGTACCATATTTGTTTGGATAGGGAAGAAATGTAGCCGTGTGATGTTGAATCATGCTAGGGTAGCTGCAAGTCAGGTGATTAGATACGAAAGGGCGAAAGGTCCGATTGTTATTGTTCATGAAGGGGAAGAAGGGAATGAGTTTTGGGATGCTCTTGGGACTAATGATGATGGTGCTGGTGTTTGTAGTAGCAGTAGTAGTAGTGATGAAAGGAAAGTTGATGCGTATGATTCAGATTTTGAGGTCTTTGATAAGGCAGTTTGTGGAGGGGTTGTCTCACCTTGTTCGGTATCGAATGCTGAATTCGAGACTCGCCTTTCTGCAAGTGAGAATGGGTGGGGGAGGCTTAGAACGAAGTTTGCTAGTGGTATCATGAAGGAGTTCATCAGTTCATCCTCCAAAATGGATGTAGATTCAGTAATATATGAAGGTGAAGAAGATGTGGAGGAAAAAGGGATTCCAAGTAAGGACACATTGTCTTCGTCGACTCCTTTTGGTTCGCCTGATTCCTATCACTCTTGCTCACCGGACTCTGCTCAGAAATTCGGCTACAAGTCTCCTGCTACAATATCGCCTTCTGCTTCGGATTATTCATCAAGTTCATTTACCTTTTCGCCCTCATCTTCAAACTGGTCTGACTTGTCGTATGTGTCTTCCCAACAGCCTTCCCCTTCTGGTTTGGAAGCTCTTAACTCACCTACAAAGGTGTTTCCTGTTGATCTTCAAACGAGTCATGTGTCGAACAAGGTAACTACTTCACCATCTATAGCAGAGCGAAGAGGGAGTAACCCTCCGCCACTTATAGTGAGTTGTGGGGCAATTCTGCAGCAACCTGAATTGGATGATGATGTGATGAAGGATGGTCATGGGGGGAAGGAGGAAATGACTGATGTTGATATGACTGGTGCGGATTATGACATTGCCGACAGAGAGGAAGATGGCAGAGTTCATATTAATCAGTTGTGATCTAGTTTTTCTCATTGCCATGGATCATCTGAATCAGCAGGTTATTGGAGCTTTTTCTCAACATGTTAAGTCAGAGTAAGAATGCTGAGAGTAATTGCCAGGAATGAGAGTCGAAGAAGTTTGGAGACAACCCAGATTCTTTTTCTTGCTCGGGTTATGTATTATGTAGAAAGCTTTTTTTTTTCCTGAAAAAAACATGTACAGGGGAGGGGAGTTACAAGTTTGTTGTTCAGGTCTCAGAATCATACTAAGAGTAATAAACATTTCCACCTAATAAAAGTAAATCAAGAAAGATTTTCCATTTCACCCCTTGTTGTTGCTCAACTTTTACAGTGGCCAACAATAATATAGTTGTGACCTTTGCGAAATAAGGCAGCTGGAACAAAATTTGGAGCAGTCCTTTTCCCCTTTCCATTCTGCAGACAAACGAAAATGATTCATATTCCATTTTGTGATCTTAATAGAGCCATTGTCGGCCCTAGAGCACTGCCTCTCAGCGCCTTGAAACTCCATTGGTTTGTGCCCGAACTCTCGGTGACCGTCCAGTTATTATCCTCATGCGACAATTCTGCTTTCTTTGCATTCAAAGCTTCGCTGATCTCATCCCATGGGCTCTTCGTTGCTTCTCTTTTTTCTAGCAAGTATTAACAATGGAAAGTGAGATGATATTCGTGGATGATAAATGAGATTGTTGTGTTAGCAAAGAACCAAATTAGCAATCAGTACCTTGACTAGATGTGTGATTTTTTGCGCCATTTTCTGCTGTACCTTGAACTTCATTTGGAGAGGCTTCATTGACAAGATTGGACTTTACTGACCCAGCACTGCTAGGGTTCACAGCACGGACTTCTAGAAGTGAAGTAAAATCCATCTGGAGAGGTAAAGCTTTAACAGTCAATTCATCTGATAGCAGAAGAGGGGAAGTAGAAAACTGTTGTTCTGTGAGTTGTTTTACCGACCTCTAGAGAGCCATCTTCTTGTAAAGAACAAGTTTCTGGAAGCACCTCGGATTCTTCATCATCTAGTTTGTTCTCGGGGATCAAAGGATACTTCGGAACTGCAACCAGCTTGATATTATTGGTTTGAGGGTCGAACTTTGATATTTTCCCTACCTACAGATGACATAAAAGGAAACTCATTCTACGCTCTTCAAGAGAATATTGTGGAAGAAATACAAGTGAAGGAAGAACAGTACTAAGTATGGTGAGAGCTCAGGTGTCCATGATGACGATAGCTGAATGAGACGATAAGCAATAACATCCCCTTCCTGCAATATTTGTCAGAACCTGCTTGACTCTTCAATCCACATACCAAATAAGACTGAAACAGAGGTCAAAATAATTAAGCATAAGAACAAACTTAACCTTGGGTGAATTCGTATAAGCTGCAAGCTTATCGAAGTCGATCTGATTATAAACAGAAGTTGGTTCTTCCACTGGTTGTGTTTCAGAAGGTTTCTGGCCAGAATTGGCATCGTGATTCCATGTTTCAGATGGTTTGTGGCTGGAATTTGTGTTATCCTTCCATCTTTCAGAAGGTTTATGACTGGAATTTCCATTATCATTCCATTTCCATGATGCACTTTTCTGTGATCCCCATTTTTGACCTTTCTTTTTGCTCATCCCATCCCACTGAGAAGTTTCCTGAAGCAGCATCCAGTAAAGAGAAAACATAAGAGTTCAGCATCCAAAGCTGGAGACTTTAATTAACACTGAAATTACTACACTATACAATTGACAATCCCCAGAATGAAACCTACCAGCAGTGTTTGATTTTGTTGGACAGGCTGATCAGCACTACCTGGAACAAGAACCGTGTTAAGAAATAAAGGTGAAGTACTGAAAGCAATAATACAGTGGCTGAAAGGCAGACCATTATAATCATTTGCACCTTTCTGAAGTGGCTCAAAACGGATATGTCCTGGTCTTATCACTATTGGTACAACATCATCATCTTTATCACTATCTTGATCTGGTTGTTGATTTTCCACCTGAACATGTGTGCTATCACCCTTAGTAGGAACCTCTCCCACCAAAGAGTGGCTTTGTTTGTCGGCTGGTTCTTCAATTGCTTTGTGATTCTTCTTTTGACAAGCTTTCTGGTTAGATTTTGAAGACAATTGCTTCTCCTCTTCTTCCTGAAAGATTCAGCATTCAGAACCAAAGGCATTATAAACAGGAAATGATTTCACTGGTTGTTTCAGTGCTATTTGAGTTATAGTATGAGTGTATGACCAACATACTTTCTTTTCAGCTCTTCGTAGCTCCCTCAACCATTGTCTCTTGGCCTTCTTACGTCGAGCACTTCTACTTGGGAGCTGAAACACAAGGCATTGCAAAGCTGAAGTCAAACTTGGAATTGGATGTCCAAAACGAAGGAACGTATCGTCAAATTCAAAAGTTGTTCACTGAAAACAGAAAGATAATATTTTAGCCACGTAACAGCATCGCACTGATAGTGCCATCAAGATACCTTTATAGTTTCAGAAAGTGGACAAGATGCATCCACATGATCAGAACAGCAATCTTTAGGCTCACTTGATCTGGAAACAAAAGAAAAACAAATAGAACACTGTAAGAGAGCTGAAAGCATTACAAACATCATCGGCATCCATACTATATTACATTGACCACTGTTCTCACAGCAAAGTCCCAGATTTGATAAGAACATAAGCAGATCAGGAATAGAGGCTGGGACAGGAATTGCTGCAGCCTGCAAGCTAGATTAAACCAAGAGAGAGAGAAAAAGTAGTCTGTTCTCTTATCTCAGATGAACAAACAATTGTCATAAATTGTTAACTACACTAATATCATGGACAATAGGGGGTGTCATACTCAAAATCTCAACTCAACTATATCTTGCCGCCAACAGAACTCCGACCTAGCAATCCTTGCAAGCAATTAACAAGCAAATTCAAAATGACTAGGGATCCTAAACATCATATAAGCTAAAAGACCAGGGAACAAGAGTAAGCAAGATTAAAAGGACTTACTTCCTGGTATTTGGCGTGCCATCCCTAGCCTTGCTATCTTTCTTAGCCTTCTTATCAGCAGCAACATAGGTTTTTGTGCCCTTTTGAGAACCAACATTGTTTTCAGTATCTGCTGTACCAACTCCACATTTCTCAGCACTAGAAGATTTCTTCTTCCTCTTCTTCTTCCTGAAATTCAAACTACCGGCTTTACTTGAACTTTCCACCATTGCATCTCATCCCGTCCACATTTACTAAAAAATGGCAGTAAAACTTCAGTTTTTACAACAACAAAGAGAGGGGCACAAACAAAGAGAACATACTTGGAACTCCCAGGTTCCTCGGACGCCTTCCTCTTCTTGGAAACCTTCTTCGTTTCCGGGGGTTTTTCATCCAGATGCAATATATCATCCAGCTCAGCATCCTCCTCCTCTTCTGATTCATCGCTCTCATAGCCACCAGTTTCCTTTTCAAATTCTTCATTCGCCAGAAGCTTCATGGGTGCTACAGCAGCAGCTAAAGCCCGATTACCCACAAATCCCAACATTCCCAAATTAGTCCTCTCTTCCCCATCATCACCCAACTTGGCAAACTCGCCACTCTTCTTCTTAACCCTGACAATATCTCCGTCCTTCAACACACCAGTCGACTCGAATGGCGGTAGAAAGAACCCTTCCATCTGCCAAACGAAACATAAACAAAGAATCACAAACACTCTCCAATTCTGAAATCAGAGGGGGAAAAGGTAAGAGAGAGGTAGCGGTTGTTTACAGATAGGAGAAGGCCGTCGGGGCATGCATTGTGGAGGTCGAAGGCGTCGAGAAGGTAATGGGAGAGATCGGAGATGGTTCTGTGTTGAGGTTTTAGGAGGACCCAGAAACGTCTCAATCCGTCGGTCTTCTCAAGAGACTCGGATAGAGCTCGGTCGAATGCTAATCGGAGCCTCACCGTATCCATGGCGGGAAAAAATGATGAAGTCGCCGGCGGTAAGTAGAAAAGGTCTTAAACCCTGTGCCTACGCTACGCGAGAGGGTTCTTCTGTTTGGGCAGTGAGCTGAGCTGCTTGCGGTGCCTGGGTTTCTTTTGATCCGACCTGCTCGGTCAATTTTCTGCTGACTAGGAAGATGTACGGATGGCGGACACACAGTGGACTGGGCTTCCGAGCTGGGGTCTTTACCCCTCAAGGCCTGAAGTGGGCTCAGCTTTCTGCAGACTGGTCTATGGGCTTTTGTGTTGGGCTTACGAGCAAATCTAAGGGTCGTTCGTTTGGTTATGAACCTATAGTAAACAAGTGGCCAATACTGTGAGTATGAGGTGGCATCCAAATTTTGGTTAACCCAAACACAAATACTGACCGAGTAAGAAGTGACCCTAACCGTAGCTGACCAATAAGAAATTGAGTGGCATATTAAGAAATTGACTTTCTTCTGAATTTACTTCTTTATAGTTCTCTGACATCTATGATACTGGTTTGAGTGGTATGATAATTCTTTCACCTTCTTTTTATTTTGTGTGCAGTGCACCCTTGCTTGTAACTTGTATCCTCTGTAATCAATATATATGGTTGGAGTTTGGAATAATAATTTTAAAAAGGGTCTTTTGAGTCCCTTCTTGAGTTGTGCTTAGATTAGATGGAAGGATCAACTTTGTACATTCTTCATACTTGGATTTTGTCAGAATGGTCGTAGCTAGGGATGGCAATTTACCCACTCATGGGTAATTTTGCCCAAACCCAAGTAGACCCATTTATTATGGGTAGGGTTTGGGTGATGTGTGTATGGGTTTGGGGTTTGTATATGGGTTTGGGTTAGATATGGATATTATCTAAATGGGTATGGGTTGGGTATGGATATCCATTTACTTGAGGGTGTTTTAACTACACATGCAAAAATTGGACCTATTTGTAAAACTTGAAAAGTTTAGGTACCAAATTGTAAGACCAAAAAAATTTAGGTACCAAAACGTAATTTTCCATCGATATTTTGAGGACTTATATGCAAAAAAAATTAAATTTGGGTACTAGATATGCATATCTATTAAGTTTAGGTACCAAACTGTAATTTGTATTTAGGCATGGGTACAAACCCAAATCCATTTGTTATAAACCCAACTCAACCCAAAGTAAATGGGTATGGGTACAAACCTATCAAACTTTACCCATATCCATATATTTGGATTTCATACCCAACCCAATTAGGTTGGATAGTAAAATACTCATGGGTATGGGCAAAATTGCCATCCCTAGTGGTAGCCTTCCTTCTGGTTTTCCTGTTTTTGTGATCAAAGAGCTTGATGGGGAGTAGTCTAGTTTTGCTCACGGCTAGGAACTTGCTAGCAGTGAAATTCTTCAGAGGTATTTAATTTAAAAATGTGTTCAAAGAGTTTGTTTTGGAGATTGAAATCAAATCATTACTGTTTTCATCTCAATGGCACCTCTTCTGTTTAGACCCATAACACCCTTACATAGTTTATTTTCTCCATCTTCTCTCCTGATGAGTTATGATGTTCTCCCTGGAAATGTTTCATGTTTTGCAGAGTGACCCCTATGGTTCCTTAGGCTGAAAGTATAGGTATCTTTCAAAGATGCTTAAGTTCAAGTCGTATTTTAGCCATTAAAGACCTAAAGCTGCAAAACCAATCCCCTATTCCTAAAGGAATCGAGGAGTGTCAAAAAGTAACTCAAGTCAAGTGGATTATTCCTATTTATAACCTTGGTTTGCTCTTTTATCTTCAGATGAAAGCTGGACATTGACGATTAGGCTTTTTTGGCTGAGTATAGCAGATGGAAAGTTGGTCACAGTAATTGTGGAACTAAAGCAAAACTGAAATAGTGTTGTTTCGCATAAATGCCAGATGAATGTACTTAACTAAAGGTTTACTTGTCATTATATTATATTATATAGCTCCTATTATTTTCCTAAGGTATGCAACTTTATCCAAACTAAAGAGCCTTCACGGGCTCGGCAATGATGCGAAAGATGTAAAAAGTTCAGCACTCAACCCTCCAATACAATACTGATGGTTCGTTCCATTCTAATATGAGATTTATGTAGTTATCTGGCTCAAACCATATGCAAGCTGTATCAAGCACCCACGACTCTGCACAAGCTGTATCGTCCATAGCAAGAAACGTCAACTCGAACAGTAAGAACTTGGAATCCACTCTTAGAGGCATCGAGATTCAACTGCTTCATTAATTCATGTATAGCAGTAAATCTTTTCATCGGTCGGTTTTATGCTTTGACAGGATTCTAGGGATCAACGATGAACCATCTGTTGGAGCTCATGAATTCATGTATAGCAGTAAATCTTTTCTAGAGTAGCCTTTATAGTTTTTGGATCCATAAATTGCAAGCAAAAGAAACAACCAAGACTACAATGCTGCTGCTGATGTACATCTTCTTAAGTTTGAATTCGTAACCGTGGATATCCGCCCGAATTCGACCTAATCGGTTAGGGTAAAACCCGAATCCAAAGGACTTTTAGTGGGTACGGGTAAAACCCGAACCCGAATATCGCGGGTAATGGGTGGGCATGGTTTTCTCACTATCCAACCCGAACCCGCCCGATTATACACATGCATATGTATTTTGTCTAGAAATAATCAATATTTTCTCTAACTTATTTTATATTTAGCATATAAATATAATTTTTTTATAAAATTGTGTTGTTTTAATCAATTTTTTTCATTCTAGTGAATTATTGTCGTACTTTTTGTCTTACGTAACGTGAGAATACGTGTAAATATTAACATATTAGTTGAAGTTATAAAGATAAACTATTACCCATGGATAACCGTGGATACCCGAAACCCGAACGGGTATGGGCATGGTTTGGATTTTCTACCCGTTTCTTATGTGGGTATGGGTAAAACCGGAACTACTTTGGGTAGGGTAACGGATATGCACTATCCGTCCCCGACCTATTGCCATCCCTAGGCGGGTTGGGTTGAGCCATGGGCCACGTTCAGAACTCGAACCATTCACAGAAAAGAATCGCATCAATTTCTCATCCATTTGCCAGATTAGCCTTGAATGCAACAATTATTGATGCCTCTTTACGATTAACAAGACTCAGAGTGGCGACAAAAACAAGAAAAGAGAGCTAGAGGCACCAATTTGCAACAGATTGGTAGCCTTCAATGGTTCTGTAAATAGCTGAGTCCTGTAAAGAATGAACAACTGATATAAAACGTTCTGATGATCTAACCATCTCAACATGCTTTCAGAACAAACATAACCAACAGGTTTAGACGCTAAGCAATTCAAAAGCAGTCGATTCTACTGTAGCCAACAGTGCTTGGCAAAGCTCATCAACTCGCCACAGTCCGATTTGTGCCACCCGATACCAGCTCTCAAAGTCCCCTGAAACATTCATCGATACCTTCAGTAGCTACCCGATTGCATAGTTCTTAACTTGAAAAGAGGAGAGAGATGCAACCAAAAGGAAAGCAGCTTCCATGCAATGCATGAGCAACGCATCAAAGTTTCAAAAAAGAGAAAGCAAGCATCAAAGGGGAGATGAAAAGTTAGATAAAACCCTACAGTCTAGTCATCCAAAAAGAACGATATTCTTAACTTGATAATACAAGTTAACATTATCAAAAGATCTTCTGATAAACCAACTAAAAGTAACAATCTTTTGTCAAGCCCTTCGATAGACAACCAGCTTTCACAACAGCAATCACTAGAGCTTCAATCTGCAACCACTCCCAGGAGAACATTCTTAATCACCGATCAAGCTCAAAGACTCATATCTTTGTTTGCTTGAATACAACAAACCATGAAAACCCCCACTAGCAGAAAATAGTCAAAAAACTCTTTTGCCAAAAGCACAATCCTCAGGTCTAAGTTCTATTCACAACCAAAACCTCAGCTTATCCACATTGCTTCGCATTCATAAATCATAAGATCCTAACCATCCTAATTCGACGTAATTTGACCTTGACCTTCTCCATCATAACGAATTCTCGCTTAAAACACAGCTAAAGCACAGAGAATTTCCAAATGCTCCATAGCCTTACCCATTCAACTTCAACCCTCTACCCCTATACCATATTCTCGAATCCCTTTCCACCATCCCAACCATTTCCAACACCTAAATTGCAGTTCTCGCGAGTGACAATTCACCATCTCCCTCAGATAAAAAAGCTAAGGAAAAATGATGTTAAGAATCCAGACAAGTACCTGATCTTTTTCTGGAGGATGCCCTGGAGCTTGCGGGCGAGATCCTCAGATTTAACACGGTGCATCAGGTTCTTGTGAGCCAAAACTCGCTTCTCCGAGTTCTTCAGGTGAGTCATCTGCGCCCGCTTGATCAGCCGTTCCATCCCGCTCGATTGCATCTTCCGCTGCAACACGGTGAGAGCCCTCTCGACGTTCCCGTCGTACACCGTCACCCGTATCCCCCGCCATTGCTGAGTCCAATACAGCTGGCTCTCCCGAGTCACCAACGAGTTCAACGACGCGGCGGCGACGGACGCGCTGCTCCGTATCCAGTTCATCATTTTTCTTCCCCGGCCGTCTTTCTCTCAAATTCTAGGGATTTCTTCCTTCAGTTTTCAGGGTTCGCGCGACATTAATTCGTCTCTGGTTTTAATTTAATTACCGAAAAGGTCACTGAACTTTGGATATAGCTTTAAATAAGCCACCAAAACCTTGAGATGGCTACAGTTTAGTCATTATATTAAATGTATTGCATTTTTTATTTCGACAGATTATATATCTACGGGTATTCAATTTCATATTTCATAATATAATTTTTATTTATTTTTCAATTATACGCAATATACTGGATTATAGGTTGATAAATATGCTCAATATACATTTACATTCACATTAGGGAATACAAATATTGTAGACAATATGGAGTATGGGCTTATGGCGCCTAAGCGTTGGTTGTTGGCGACATTGAAGAGTAGCTGATCGGATTATCGGTTGAAGAGAATGAGCAACAAGGAGAAGCAAATTTCTAATTTTTAGTAGGAACTTATGATTCCAAATTAAGAAAAGGAGTAAAGGACGGCATATCAATGATAATTTGAGATGAATTTGTTTTAGAGAAGGTAGCTGCCTTCTTTTTCTTCCCTTGGTGATGACCAAAAGAAAGCAATCGCTAAAGTTTGGTGACTAATTACCATGGTGGTGGAAGTGGATAATTACCAAATCACATCACACTATATCCATAATTACGGAATTCGACCCCAATTGATATCTCGAAACTCAATCTGGAGCTTCGTTGGGTTAACACTCAACAACTTCACATGGACTGTGATCTCAAACTCGGCGAGAGAGAACTGAAACATAAATCTGGAAGAAAACGAAGAGACGACGGCCGGAGAAAATTTCCTTGAATTCCCAATTCCCTTTTTCTTGTTTCTTCGGTGGGCGGCAGGGAATTAGTAGCAGTAGAAAGTTAGGCGGTGGAACTGGAAAGAGCTGGCGTCTTACAGTCCGAAGTGAGTCATGGCGGAGCTGAGGCACTCAAGCTCGCTCGGTGCCAGAGCTACAGCTACTTTGTCTCCGATGAAGTGCGACGAGAAAGACGCTTCCCCTCTCCTCCTCCACCACGATAAACCCCCTGCCGCCGTCAACGACGACGACAATGACGACAGTCGCCGCCACCGTTTCGCCAGGGATCGCGACAGTCCGTTCTGGTCCAATCTTGTCCCGTTCCCAAGCGACGAACCTAGCTATTCGTCTCAGAACTCTAGGATCTCCATGATTCTGATCGGCGTCGTCGCTTTTGCCGGGTTGATCTCCATTTTCTCAATCTTTCACCGATTGGTATGGTGTATTTTGGTTGAATCCATGTTCATTGCTCAGTTAGATGGTTGTTGGTTTTTGCTGATGGTTATTGGGAATTCGTCATTTTCTTTTGTAGAATGCTCCTTACTTGTGTAAAAAGGATGACATTGTGCTCCATTGTCCACATGTAAGCTGCATTGTTCAGAGGATGATACTTTTGGGAATTGTCTGTTACATGGTCTTGGATTTGTATTGAATTTCAGTTCATGACTTCTTTTTTCAGGTCAAGGAGTCTTCTTCCCTCTGAGAAAATCCATTATCTGCAACAACTTTTTTTTTTATAACCCAGGAACCTCAACCCTACGCGTCTCTTTGTGACAGCGGGGCCTACCAAATCTGGGGAGCACCTATACAAGACACAATATCGAGGGACTCTGTCCCCAGCACTCAGTGATGCCTCCGGGAACACACAAGCGGCGCCGATGGGGATCAAATTCAGGACCTCTCACTTCCTAAGCCAACCAGGCCAGCGGTTTCACCAGCCAGGCTATGTTACCTTCGACTCTGCAACAATTTCTTGGAAGCCTTGCGTTGAGCGTCGCGATGGTGGAAATTCAGGTGATTTAATTTGTGTTTCTTCTAATTGTGTTTCTGGGTTTATTAGATTGGTCTTATTGGATAAGATGAGGTATGTCATCAGGTATATTTTATTTATCGTGGAAAATATTAATTAGTAGGTTGTCATTGTATGGTTAAAATTTGGGACATGTAAGGATACAAATATGTAAGTTGAAACGGACACGTGCACGCATGGGAAGGACAGCTAAGTAGATTATGGGGATGATTAGGGGTGGCAACTAGTTAGTCGGTAATTGTTTTAAAGTGATATCCGAATTGATAATTATAGTGGATAATTTATAATCAATAATTTATGGTGGTTTGGTTTAGTTAATGATATTTTGTTTAGTTGTTAATCAATAAGAAAGTTGATAACTACTTACTAGTATAACCATATTTTGGGCTTTAGGTAAAGGGGAAAATACTAAGATTCTAATCGAACTAAACTCGTAATTTCAAACATCTCAATTCACCTGCAAACAACCCTTGATCAAAAGTGTCAAATATGTTTAAGAGTTAGAACCCGACCTTTCTCCGACTTCCCTTTGCAGTCGAAAGAACGAACAACGCACCCTAAAAGTTTTTGTTTCTTTGATGTTTGTGAATGGATGATCTTGTGGTGCTTGTGTTGGTAGTTAGTACTCGCTAATTAGATGAAGATGTTTGATTATTTTTTATTTTATTTGTTGGAATTTGGATTATGAATTCGTCATATCTGTTGCATTGTATACTTGCGTTGATATTATTTCTTATAATTAGTATTTTATGTTAACAACACAACTATGTAGTTAAAATGTATTGAATCATTTGTATTATTATATTTTATTATTGAAAAAGGATACTATACAAATTTCAAAATAACAAAAGAAAAATGTCATTCGTCAATGGTTAACTGCCAAACTAACCGCTAATCGACCGATAACAGACGGGTAACCGATAAAATTGATTAGAGGTTAAACCACTATCCACCAAATTTATTAATGATTAACCGAACTGATTAACAATTTTAAGAATGATATGTTATCGTATATAATCATACAGTAGCTAATTAGCCCGCGCCCTGCGCCGGGTAAACTTTTTGTAACATAATTTAATTAATTTACGTCAAACCAAATAGTTAGAAATGAAAAATTAACTTAGCATAATTTGTGTAAAGAGGTGGCACAAAACACACTGAATTTATATATATATATATATATATATATATATATATATATATATATAAATTTCAAAGCAAGCTTAAACCCTTACATATTTTTTATTATTTCTTGATCATTGAAAAAATAGCATCACAAAGTAATGATAAAGTAGGAAAGTAATCAATAGGAAGTTAGATTGAGAATGATGCTGGAGAATACCATACCGAAGCATCAGAAGTTAGTTAACACTAACACCGTAGGCTCAAACAGTGCTTTTCATTACTTGGAAGTTGGAATTTGGAAGAACATTTTATAACCCACTAAAAATCATGTGACTTTCACCAGTGCTCGACAGTGTCATTGTGGCAACGTAACCAAATTCATAATAAGTGACCAAATTATCTTGGGTTTGAGTACTGGTATCTACATAGTTCTTCCTCCTCCGCATCATACAATAACAACACTAAAACTCTTGTTTTACTATCAAATTGAAAGCTAAAACAACTTGTTAACTTCTTTTATGTGGAAGGGAGCGATGTCACGTCTCAACCTCAGTAACAACCTAGGCAAGGAAGAGCGATAATAATCAACAACCATAACTCGTATTAAACATGGAATATTAGTTCACATTGAAATACTCGTATAATTATTACAACATGGACATCCTGTCCTCCCCTCACCACAAAGCGAGAACTAAATAGCACTCCAGAACAAATAAAAAATGCAGGAGTAGTTGAACCCTTTAGGAAGTTGGAAGAAAGATATACAATCACAAAATTAAAATACCGAAATAATCTTCTGACTCCTTTAAACGATACCTAAAACAAACTGAAGCAAACATTCTGACCATTGCTTCTGCTTTCATTGCGACCACTGCCCTCTGTTGCGCCGTGTTTTACCTGGTCAGGAGGATGAGGAATTCGGATGATGTGATAGAATTTTGGGAGCTGGAAATTGGCTAGGGGGAGTTCATGTTTGGTAGCTGCCTGCGATCCACTTCTCTCAGCAGAACTTCCTTCCTACTAATTAAGTTGCACTTGTAATTATAGTTTAAGTAGAAATGATTTTTTAACTATTCCTTAATAGAAAGACGTTGAAGACAGGGTTGTCAAGAAGAAGCTTTCTGATCTTGGAAAAAACTCATGCCATACTAAGAAATTGGAACCACTAATCCTATTACTGAACATGTACTTGTGATCAAAACTCATGGCATACTAAGAAATTGGTAACACTAATCCAACTGAACATGTATCTTGAAAAGTAAACAAACATATTGGTTCATAATCATGCTCACACATAATAAATTGCTAATCTGGAGAACTGCCAAATGACAAAACTTTCTAATGAGATTCGTGAAAGGTCAAGACAATGAGAACTATTCTAGTTCTAGACAATGCAGCAAAATCACCACTAAGCCCACAGCAGAATGAATCTCATCAGAAACCAAAAGACTCACAGAGAATGAGGAACCTACAAAGGACCAAACGTAGACGTGTTATTCCTTAACCTTTGGTAGATCAGGCCTCTTGATAATTTGATGGAAATACTGGACAGTTTTCAACCTCTTTTCTTCCGGTCCTGTGAAATTCTTTTAAGCCTGAGAACACAAATATATCTTTCGTTCTATGAGCAGTTACAACTACAGTAGATAATCATCCCAAACCCCACCCCATCATTATAAAAAGAGTTGTTCCAAATCCCATATATAGATAATAAGAACACCAAATTGTCGAAGCTAAACCAAGGTCTCACTCATCAAACTTACGAAGCAAAAAGAATTAACCTAGAAAGTAAGTAGTGAGGAATCATGAGCGAGCGAGCAACACACAAATTGAATCTAATCTTCAGTTACTGAGAATACCCACATAAATAAGCCTGTTGCTAAAAACAGAATGCAATATTGAGAGAAGCAATCATATAGATAGGATGGAAGCGGAAAAGTAGCAGCAAAAGCTTGATAGAGAATCTGAATTCCACCCAGTTGTAGCCGTCAATGGCGGATCTGAGCAAGAGAATTTGGTGAGTAGTTTGTGTATAGTCAGTCAGTCAGTGAGGGTAAGAAAGAAGAGAGGTGGGTTTATGCCATGGCTCTATCATGCCTTGGATTTAGTGGAGAATAGAGTCCATGGCTTCGGTGTTGTTGGGAATAGGAAAAGCCAGGGAAGGTTTCAATTTCGGCTGGAAGAACAAATAAATGGTCTTTGCCGGCCGCCAGGGTCCTATGGGATTTCTTTTCTAGGGTTTTGAGGAGACCAGGAAGAAGAAAGATGAGGAACCATCATCCAATGCTAAACTAACTGATGACACATGACAAGTTGGTGCATGGAACACTGCTCCAGCTCCGGACACGATGAGGTAACCAAAACGCTTCGATCTCCGTAGTCGTATATGTACAGGTTGCTGTCACGTGGGTATACCAGGTAAATGGCGTTTCTTTTGAATCCGAATTTGCTAGCGCAGCATCCAAATCCCCCCGACCCAGTGAATTGAAACGCCCCGGACGACCAGGCGAAAAAGAATGCCCTGTCTCCAAGATCCTCTACCTCTTCCATTCGCATCTTCTTGACATCGATCTTGAAGACCCTTACATCCAGGATAACGTGTGCATTTCGATTCGTATGGAAATCCCCGGCGAAATCCTGGTGAAAAAATAGAAGCTCGCCGCGGGATTCAACCAGATAACGCTTGATGTCGCCACACCCCTTGGGCGAACGTTGCATAACTTGAATCTGTTGGATCACTTTGACCCCATAATTTGGCCGCAACTTGATCTCCAGAAATCGGAGTTTGCTTCCTGGTGGTGTTCCAATCCCGTAAATCCTGCCTCGGTAGGAAGCAGCTACAAACACTTGACCTCCTCCCTCGCTAATTGTCCACTCCTTATCACCAACTCCGCACAACATTGCCACACCCTCGCCGGCAGCTTCCCCAAAGATCACTACCATGAATTCGGAACCGTCGGCGGGCATGTGGAGCAAACAACATCGATAGACGAAGTTTTCACGCTTTTCCCACGTCGGCAGCGAATCGAAAGCCATAGACTTTGTGTTGAACACAACACAATCTCGCGCCTCGAGATCCATCAGCAGCACCCGCCCATAACCATGGCCATACACTCTTTTCCCTCTCAATCTTTCTTCCATACTACTAGTCTCCTTTGAATGGTACACGCCGGTGGCCAAATCCACGAATGTGATCTTTTCTTCTGCTTTCTCTCCGTGAGACATAACAATCCACGGTCGCTCCGTCTCTGCCTCTGCTGCTTCTTGTTCCACCAAACCTTCTTCTTCAGTGATTTCTTCTCCAGCTCTGCCTTCTTCTTCTTCTTCTTCTTCTTCTTCTTCAAGCGACGGTGCATCGGGGTTCGACCAGTCAAGCTGGCGGTCAGAAAGGTAGTGGAAGTTGGGAATCCAAGTGCAATTTAGCGGAATGTTTGTGCCAAGCAAGTCATGTGAAGCATACTTATTATTGCCCATCAAGTGGAACTTGGCGGTTGAGAGGGAGTAGAACACATTGTGCCTTTCATGGAATCTTGCAAAATGAATGGTGTTGTCCAACCAGGGGACTCCTAGCTCCTTGCACGACATGGTTATACTTGACGGGGAGCTCAAGAAAACCACTTGACCTTTCAGGTGAGGAACACACTGCCACACCTTGAGATTCTCGTTAAACTTGAGAACCCTAATCGATTCACCCCTCGATCCAACCACAACGGCGATCAAATGTTCTCCCCCTCCGACGAGGTAGCTCTTGCTGTGATCGTCGGCCGAGAAAGCCCAATGTTTGGTGTGGAGCAGAGTCCACGACATAGAAAGCTCTTCCTTGTCCTTCTTTTGCTTCTTGATTGGTGGTTTGAAAACTCCTAACCTTCCGTATTGGTCAAGGCAATAGAAAGCTCCCCTGTAGAAAACAGGGGCGGAAACAGAGCTAGCCCACTCGAAATCCTCCTGGCAAGGGATGGGTCTCGACCACTTGCATCGATTATTGGTCCGGAGTTTGAACCGGCCTATTCTGTCACTACCACCATTGCGATTATCACTTGTAGGAGCGACTAACAACGAACGTTTCTTGCGGTACAAGTAGTTGCTCTGTCTCGGCACCATCGTCTTGTTAGGGAATTCTTGGTATGTCCAACGGGTTTCCCCCCGTCGGATGAAAGCAGTGGAAACAGAGCAGGAACCGAGGTACATTTCGGTGAGCGCAAAGACAACACAATCCGGAGAAGTAGGCTGCGCCGAGAAGCTCAACCGGTTGCACTGCCAGCAACAACCGGGCAAGTAGATGGTGTTCCCGGTGGAGGGATGGAAGAAGAAGAACAAGTCCTCTTTCGACAAGAGCAACCAGCCATAGTTGGAGCAGTGAATGAACGCGTCATCGAGGTCGGACGGGGCGTCGGCCGAGTACCACTCGTTGGCGAACGGAGAGTAGAGCTGGTAGAGGGAGGATGGCTCGTCGGCCGGGCTCTTACAGAACCGCAACATGAAGGGGTATTTGGAAGCAGCAGCAGCAGCCTCCATTCGCTGCTTTGTAATTTTGGGGACTCGGCGGATTGGCGCCGCGGAAGCCATCTTTGATGAAGAATTTTTGTTATCAGCTTGTTGCGGTGCTTGTCTGGTTGCTGTGTTACTATATATATAGTAGAAGTTGCTCCTTTTCTTTCATGTATGTATAGGGAATCCTTATCTGCAGAGGAGACTGGTTTTCCTTTCTTTATGGCTTCGGGAATTCGTGGGAGGGGAGGTCATTATCTATTTTACTTTATTAAATTTTTTCGGGGTTAATTGCATGGTTGGTCACTGAGATTACAAAAAAACGTTTAAATTTGATCACTCGAAATATTTAAATCCATTGACGGTACTTTAATTTACTGAAACCGTTCACGTTTGGTCACTCTCCGTCCAACTCCATTAACTTTGGCTGATGTGGCAGTCAACTCTCAAAGTTGACCGTTAACTTAGTAACGTGGCAACTAAGAAATTATTAAAAAATAAAAAAATAAATTTTTATATTTTCCATCTCATTACTACATTCATTAAAAAATAAAATGAAAATGAAAAACCTAGATTTTTTTTTCTACAAACCGCATACCACGCGCACCCATCCGCCGTGCTGTTTCCGTCGCAGCGGTCGTTGGGCAGGACGGACCGGGATGAGCTGAGGTCCTCGATGCTCCCGTCGAATGTCAATCGCAGGATCGTGAAGTTGCGCTCGTTCCTGTTGCTGTTCGCCCTGGTGGAGGCCGTGAAAGTCAAGTAATCATCCTCGTCGGAGATCCGCGTGCGAGTCAGGTTCAGATCCAGCGACATCCCGGCCGCGAGAGCCAAGTTCTTAGGATCACAGGACAAGCAGCTAAATATCAGAAGCAGCAATCAAAAGTGTGCATATACGATCATACCCATCTAACAACGAAATTGAAGAAGACGATTCCATTCCATGGACCTAACCTAATCCTCCCACCTTTAATTCCTCCAGTTTCCATCGGAGCCACCACCGCCCCTCGACGAGTAGCGAGATCCACCACCACCGCCACTGCCATATCCACCGCCACCGCCGTCTCTGCGAGGTCCACCACTCCTGTATCCGCCTCCGACACCGCCGCTGCCGGAGCGAGACTGAGCCTCGTTGACTTGACGGTGATGTTACGACCATCGAGATTCTGGCCGTTCATCCCTTCGATCGCTTCCTTCATCGCCTGCTGGTCCCTAAACGTCACGAATCCGAATCCACGAGATCTCCCTGTCTCCCGATCGTTGATGACCTGAACAGAATCACACACACAACAAGGTCCACAGATCCGTCAGAAGCAATAATCAGAGATTCCTCATACGATCATACCCATCTCTAACTAACAGGTGGTGTAACTTGTAAGTAGGGATGGCAATGGGTAGGATCGGGTGCGGGTTTACCCTATACCAACTCCTAACCCGTCGGGTAGAGCCTTCTAAAATACCTGACCAAATAACCACCGGGTATGAAAACTATATAACCATACCCTACCCACCGGATAACCACGGGTATTCGGGTAACCATGGGTACGAATCCTAAACTATGAACTTAAACACATATATGCACATACATACTATTGTCTATTAAAAATTCTCAATACTTGTAACTGTTCTAGTTTCAACAATCCACACAAATAAAAACAACAAACACATAAGAATTGTTCTTGCTTCTATAATCCACACAAACATAATAATCGTCTACATCTTCATCATCAATAATGGTAGCTACGCTCAATTTCTCAAGCTAAACTAAATTTCTCAAGGGAAATTGACCATTTGGTTAGCGGCGGGTATAACGGGGCGGGTATTATCGATTACCATACCCGTACCCTACCCTTTATTTTGAAACCGGGTATTACCCGTACCCGCCCCTTAACCCGTCAAAGCGGGTAATTACCCTCGTTGACCGGTTACGGTCGGGTAGGGTACCCATGGTTACGGGTTGGATTGACATCCCTACTTGTAAGTTAACAATTGAGGAGGAGAAGAGAAAGCAGACAGTACGGTTAAAGATAGTATTAGATTCAGCATCGGGTATGGATTTGTAGAAAACAAATTAGGTTTTTTATTTTTTTATTTTTTAATGAATGTAATAATGAGGTGGAAAATATAAAAGTTTATTTTTTTATTTTTTAATAATTTTTCAGTTGCCACGTCATTAAGTTAACGGTCAACTTTGAGAGTTGACTGCCACATCAGTCAAAGTTAACGGAGTTGGACGGAGAGTGACCAAACGTGAACGGTTTCAGTAAACTGAAGTACCATCAATGGATTTAAATATTTCGAGTGACCAAACTTGACCGTTTTTTGTAATTTCAGTGACCAACCATGCAATTAACCCAATTTTTTCCATTAATTTATTATATCATGTCACTTAAGTTTGTTGACTCATTTATGGTTTAATCGACAGATGGGATCAAAATGAAATAATAATTATGTTAAAAATATAAATACTTAAGGTTTTGTAAAATTTGGGACAAAGCAAATAAGTAATCCATTCGAATAAAAAACATAATATCTAACTCTTTATTTCTAATTATGTTTATGGTTTAGAGAAAATCGATAACCAAAATTAAACCGAACCAGGTAATAAGAACGGAAAATCATTAAACTAACATAAAAAAGAGAATAGTTAATAACTATCTAACCTGTTCGGCCAACCAGAAAAACGAAAAACGATTGGTCAGCCCTCCGGACCGTTTGAGTTCGACCTTTCACCTCCTTGCCTCTCAGCGCCTTGAAACTCCATTGGTTTGACTTTAATCAAGTGCTGGGCTACGAAGAGAAGAATGGGGAAAATCTCCCTGACATACAGAACATGGAAGAATTCCAGGCTTCGCTGGATGAGTGCCAGCTTGAAGACCTAGGCTACTATGGATACCCGTTCACTTGGGATAATGGAAGAGTAGATGAAGGCTTTCTGGAGGAACGGCTGGACAGAGCTGTGGCAAATGAGGAATGGAAGCAAATGTTCCCTGAAGCAAGTGTATACCACCTAGATAGGTGGGTGTCGGACCACCTGCCAATCGAAATTGTATTGTCAAATGAAGTGGATAAGGTCAGATGGGGGTGGTACTTTCGGTTCGAGCCATTTTGGCCGCAACATGAAGGCTGCCAAGCAATAATACAGGAAGAATGGAATAAAGATCCATTGCTTAGTGTGGAGGATCGGATAAAGAACTGCGAAAAAAAACTGTTACAATGGAGCAGAGAAACATTCGGCAATATTAAGAAGAGGAAGAGGAAAGCAGAACGGGCCTTGGCAATTATAGCAAAACAGAAAAAGAACAAGGCGGTGATACTGCAAAGAAGAGCGATGGAGAAGGAACTGAATGAAGTTCTGAAGCTGGAAGAAATACTATGGAAACAAAGGGCACGCGTTGACTGGCTAAAAGAAGGAGACAAGAACACAAAGTTCTTCCACAGGAAAGCTTCGGAGAGGCGAAAGCGTAACACCATTAGGGAATTGAAAAATGAGGAGGGGGCGGTCTTCCGAGGACAGGAGGAGGTCACCCACTGTCTCACTGACTACCTAAAGAGTCTATTTCAGGCTGGTGAAATATCAAACATTGAGGAAGTGCTAGAAACCGTGGAAGTCAAGGTTACAACCCGGATGAATGCCAATCTGATGCGAGAGGTGACAAGTGAGGAGGTTTGGGGAGCTTTAAAGAGTATGGCCCCAAACAAAGCTCCGGGCGTGGATGGGATGTCTGCACTATTTTATCAGAGGAACTGGAGCATAGTAGGGGAGGCAGTCACCCATGAGATTAAGCATATCTTTGCAACGGGCATAGTTCCGCCAGAAATGAATAAAACGCTGCTGGTGCTAATCCCTAAAAAGAAAAAACCAGAATATGCCAAGGAGTTCAGGCCGATTAGCCTATGCAAGGTACGCTACAAGATTCTATCGAAAGTACTAGCTAATCGGCTGAAACAGGTGCTCGATGAAATCATTACGAAAACACAAAGTGCGTTCGTACCGGGGAGGAACATTTCTGATAATATCATGGTGGCGTTTGAATGTTTCAACGCGATGAAAAACAGAATAGAAGGAAAAAAAGGGTACACAGCAGCAAAGCTAGACATTGCCAAGGAATACGACAGAGTGGAATGGACGTTCCTCGAGAACATTATGCTGAAGATGGGTTTTCAGGAGGAATGGGTTAATCTGGTGATGAGAAGCGTATCGACGGTATCATATTCAGCCCTAGTAAATGGACACCAAACGGAGGTATTTGCACCGTCGCGAGGGTTGAGACAGGGAGACCCAATCTCTCCCTATCTATTCTTGTTGTGCGCAGAGGGGCTGTCGGCACTAACAAAAAGAGCAGTGGATCAGGGAAAACTTCATGGACTGAGAGTAAGCCGGAATGGACCGATGATCACCCATTTATTCTTCGCAGACGACAGTATTTTCTTCTTTGAAGCGAAGAGGGAAGAAGGTACAGTGCTTAAGGGGCTGTTGGAACAGTACGAGAATGCATCGGGGCAACAGGTCAGCTTACAAAAATCGGAGCTATCATTCAGCTCGAATGTAAGCGAAGAAGTCAGAAGAGAGTTGGCGGTAATACTAGGGATGAAACAAGTGCAACAACACGACAAATACCTAGGACTCCCTACCGTTATTGGTCGATCAAAGAGGGCTGTTTTTTCACAACTAATTGATCGAGTCAGAAAGAAGATCAAGATGTGGAAGAGCAAGCTATTATCAAACGCAGCGAAAGAAGTGCTGATCAAAGCCATCGCCCAAGCACAAACGCTTTATGCGATGTCTGTTTTTCAAATCCCTCAGGGAGTGATCAATGAAATTCAAAGCCTAATTGCAGGATTCTGGTGGGGGAGGAAGAGAGAAGAAAGGAGAATTCACTGGCTGAGCTGGGAAAAACTCTGTAAACCGAAGGAGGAGGGAGGTATGGGGTTTCGAGACCTTCATGGTTTCAACATCGCACTACTGGGCAGACAAGTCTGGAATCTATTGAAAAAACCAGACAGTCTCGTAGCAAGGGTGTTGAAAGCAAAATACCACCCTCATTGTGACATCCTCCAAGCAGAGGTAGGAAGCAGCCCTAGCTACATTTGGCGCAGTCTAATGGCAGCACAAAAATTGATCAGAGAAGGCACGAGATGGAGAATTGGGAGAGGGGACAAGGTAAGGATTTGGTGGGATAGATGGATTCCAGAATCCCCAAATTTCAAAGTGAGTTCAACGGTGGCGGGGTTGGGCATGGAGGCTACAGTTTCTGAATTGATTGACCCGGTAACAAGGACATGGAGATCAAACATTCTACAAGCCTGCTTCAATCCTATTGATAGAGAAAGAATTATCCAAATCCCCCTGCCGAGCCACCCCCTAAATGACAATCGCTGCTGGGGTTATGAAAAGTCTGGGAAATACTCGGTAAAATCAAGCTACAAGATTTGGAAGGAAAAGCAGAGCCAAATAGACGGTGAACCCTACATCCCAGTCGACTGGAAAAGGCTATGGCATTTGGACATACCCCAAAAGGTAAGAGTTTTTGTATGGAGATGGGGATGCAACATCCTCCCAACAGGAGCAAACCTGACTAAACGAATTAGGGAAGCCTGTGATGAATGCCCATTCTGCGGATTGAGAGAGACACAGGAGCACATCACAAGAGATTGTGACTGGGCTGGAAGAGTGTGGAGACCAAGCGAAATTGCGAGGCTATTCAAGCTAGGAGAAGGGAAAAGCAGTGAGGAATGGTTGTGCGAACTACTGGAGAAAGCTACGGATGATGAGATCTGCCAGATTCTTATGGCACTTTGGTATATATGGAAAGAACGTAACAACCATTTGTTCAACAATCAAAAGCTGGAAGAGTGGGAAGTAGTGCAGAGATCGCAAAATTACCTGGAAGAATTTCGGTCTTGCCAGCAGCAGACCCAACCTAGCCTGCAGACGAGAAGGGTGTTCAGTTGAGAGAAGCCGCCGCCGGGATGGTGGAAGGCAAATGTGGATGCTGCAATTCTCAGGGAAGGAGGAACGGGTCTTGGGCTGGTAGTGAGGAGCAGCGAAGGGGAGTTCAGAATGGGGGCAATCCACCGGACGCGCGCTCGATGGCAGCCGGAAATAGCCGAAGCCAAAGCGATTCTTTGGGGGATGCGTCTGGCGATGCAGAACTATGATGGCCCGATCCTAATCGAGACGGATTGCCAGGCGATCGTAAAAAAGATTGAAGGGGAAGCTCAGAGTGAATTGGAAATCGGGTTTCTATGCGATGAGGTTAGGGAAAGGATGGAGGAAAGGGAAAATGTGAAGCTGAGGTTCTGGGTAGGGATGGCAATCAAACCCATGGCCGCGGGTACCCGACCGCCCCATACCCAGTCAACGCGGGGAATCCCCGCTTTGACCGGGTATGGGGCGGGTATGGGTAAAACCCGCAAAAGGTTTGATGGGTATGGGGCGGGTATGGTTTTAGCCTCCCCCGCCCCATACCCATACCCATACCCGCCCCACCAAGAGAATTTCTTCACATATCAAAAAATACGTGGATTAAATTGTAATCTATCAATGATGATGATGATAACTCGAGAAAATAAATAGTAGAAATGCAATTGAGTAACCACCTTAATCAAAACCTAATTCATTTCCCTCAATTCTCCTTCCACTCTTTCACTTTCCCCCTTGTCAACAAAATTATGTTAGTTAATTATTACTTAGTAAATGTATCAAGAGTTAGAGCATAATAATTTAAAAAATATTATAGTCTATATTATGTATTAATTGATGTTTTAGGATCATATTCTTTGAATCGTATTTAGAAAATGACCGTGTTTTGTTGACTTCGTGATATAATAGGTTTGTTTATGGTTATAATTAAAAATTTTCTTGTAAGTTTTAAGTATAATAATGTTGGATGTACGGGGATGGGTATTACCCATGGGTACCCGAAACCCACGGGTATGGGGATGGGTTTGCAAAACATTCCCCGCATGGGTATGGGGCGGGTATGGGTTTGGGTATTTGAAGATGGGGATGTGGATGGTTTAGGCAAACCCGCCCCATTGCCATCCCTAGTTCTGGGGAAGAAAGGGTAATGAAGCAGCGCATCAGATGGCAAGAATGAGCTGCCATTGGGAGTCAGATGAGGTGTGGTTCGACCGAGAACCGGTTTTTATCCATTCAATTCTGTCAAAAGACTGTAACAGCAGCAACTCTAATGTTTCGCATTAATTAATATTCAGGCAAGTTTTCAAAAAAAAAAAACTCTCGGTGACCGTCCAGTTATTATCCTCATGCGACAATTCTGCTTTCTTTGCATTCAAAGCTTCGCTGATCTCATCCCATGGGCTCTTCGTTGCCTCTCTTTTTTCTAGCAAGTATTAACAATGGAAAGTGAGATGATATTCGTGGATGATAAATGAGATTATTGTGTTAGCAAAGAACCAAATTAGCAATCAGTACCTTGACTAGATGTGTGATTTTTTGCGCCATTTTCTGCTGTACCTTGAACTTCATTTGGAGAGGCTTCATTGACAAGATTGGACTTTCCTGACCCAGCACTGCTAGGGTTCACAGCACGGACTTCCAGGAGTGAAGTAAAATCCATCTGGAGAGGTAAAGCTTTAACAGTCAATTCGTCTGATAGCAGAAGAGGGGAAGTAGAAAACTGTTGTTCTGTGAGTTGTTTTACTGACCTCTAGAGAGCCATCTTCTTGTAAAGAACAAGTTTCTGGAAGCACCTCGGATTCTTCATCATCTAGTTTGTTCTCAGGGATCAAAGGATACTTCGGAACTGCAACCAGCTTGATCTTATTGGTTTGTGGGTCGAACTATGATATCTTACCTACCTACAGATGACATAAAAGGAAACTCATTCTACGCTCTTCAAGAGAATATTGTGGAAGAAATACAAGTGAAGAAAGAACAGTACTAAGTATGGTGAGAGCTCAGGTGTCCATGATGACGATAGCTGAATGAGACGATAAGCAATAACGTCCCTTTCCTGCAATATTTGTCAGAACCTGCTTGACTCTTCAGTCCATACCAAATAAGACTGAAACAGAGGTCAAAATAATTAAGCATAAGAACAAACTTAACCTTGGGTAATTCGTATAAGCTGCAAGCTTATCGAAGTTGATCTGATTACAAACAGAAGTTGGTTCTTCCACTGGTTGTGTTTCAGAAGGTTTCTGGCCAGAATTGGCATAGTGATTCCATGTTTCAGATGGTTTGTGGCTGGAATTTGTGTTATCCTTCCATCTTTCAGAAGGTTTATGACTGGAATTTCCATTATCATTCCATTTCCATGATGCACTTTTCTGTGATCCCCATTTTTTACCTTTCTTTTTGCTCATCCCACCCCACTGAGAAGTTTCCTGAAGCAGCATCCAGAAAAGAGAAAACATAAGAGTTCAGCATCCAAAGCTGAAGACTTTAATTAACACTGAAATTACTACACTATACAATTGACAATCCCCAGAATGAAACCTACCAGCAGGGTTTGATTTTGTTGGACAGGCTGATCAGCACTACCTGGAACAAGAACCGTGTTAAGAAATAAAGGCGAAGTACTGAAAGCAATAATACAGTGGCTGATATTATAGACTCATATCTTTGCTTGCTTGAATACAACAAACCATGAAAACCCCCACTAGCAGAAAAGAGTCAAAAAACTCTTTTGCCAAAAGCACAATCCTCAGGTCTAAGTTCTATTCACACCCAAAACCTCAGCTCCTCCACATTGCTTCGCATTCATAAGATCCTAACCATCCAAATTCGACATAATTTGACCTTGATCTTCTCCATCATAACGAATTCTCGCTTAAAACACAGCTAAAGCACAGAGAATTTCCAAATGCTCCATAGCCTTACCCATTCAACTTCAACCCTCTCCCCCTATGCCATATTCTCGAATCCCTTTCCACCATCCCAACCATTTCCAACACCTAAATTGCATTCTCGCGAGTGACAATTCACCATCTCCCTCAGATAAAAAAACTAAGGAAAAATTATGTTAAGAATCCAGCAAGTGTTCAATTTAAACTCACCTGATCTTTTTCTGGAGGATGCCCTGGAGCTTGCGGGCGAGATCCTCGGATTCAACACGGTGCATCAAGTTCTTGTGAGCCAAAATTCGCTTCTCCGAGTTCTTCAGGTGAGTCATCTGCGCCCGCTTGATCAGCCGTTCCATCCCGCTCGATTGCATCTTCCGCTGCAACACGGTGAGAGCCCTCTCGACGTTCCCGTCGTACACCGTCACCCGTATCCACCGCTCGATTGCGACGGACGCGCTGCTCCGTATCCAGTTCATCATTTTTCTTCCCCGGCCGTCTTTCTCTCAATTTCTAGGGATTTCTTCCTTCAGTTTTCAGGGTTCGCTAGACATTAATTCGTCTCTGGTTTTAATTTAATTACTGAAAAGGTCACTGAACTTTGGATATAGCTTTAAATAAGGCATCCAACCTTGAGATGGCTACAGTTTAGTCATTATATTAAATGAATTGCATTTTTCGACAAATTATATATTTACTGGTTTTCAATTTCATCCTATCGCGTGATATTTCGTAACAGAACTTTTATTTATTTTTCAATTATACGCAATATACTGGATTATAGGTTGATAAATATGCTCAATATACATTTACATTCACATTAGGGAATACAAATATTGTAGACAATATGGAGTATGGGCTTATGGCACCTAACCACTGGTTGTCAGCGACATTCAAGAGCAGTTGATCGGATTATTGGTCGAAGAGAATAAGCAACAAGGAGAAGCAAATTTCTAATTTTTAATAGGAACTTATGATTTCAAATTAAGAAAAGGAGTAAAGGGCGACATATCAATGATAATTTGAGATGGATTCGTTTTAGAAAAGGTAGTTGCCTTCTTTTTCTTCCCTTGGTTTGGTGATGACCAAAAGAAAGCAAACGCTAAAGTTTAGTGTCTAATTACCATGATGGTGGAAGTGGATAATTACCAAATCACACCATATCCATAATTACGGAATTGGACCCCAATTGATATCTCGAAACTCGATCTGGAGCTTCGTTGGGTTAACACTCAACAACTTCACATGTACTGTGATCTCAGACTCGACGAGAGAGAATTGAAACAAAAATTTGGAAGGAAGCGAAGAGACGACGGCCGGAGAAAATTCCCTTAAATTCCCAATTCCCCTCTTCTTGTTTCTCCGGCGGACGGCAGGGAATTAGTAGCAGTAGAAAGTTAGGATGTGGAACTGGAAAGAGCTGGCATCTTGCTGAGTGGATTTTAAGGGTTTGATAATTTTACAGGGTATAGGGGCTCATGATTGACATAGAAAAATTACTATCAGAATTTTTTAAGAAGGTTCAAGTTAGGTGGAAAATTCGTCCAAGACAAAAATAATTAGGAAAAATGGTCGGTTTTGAAGGGATTTTTTCTAGAAAATTTTTAAAGGGGGGTTAAGGGACCTTGGGAGTGAGATTTGAGGATGGGACTTTGAGAAGAGGGTGTCTGGTTAGATAGAAAGGGGTTTTAAATCGAGAAAAGTCGTCTTAGAATATGAATTTCTTATTAATAGGTTTCCTGGATTAATACTGCTAAGGAGGGAAAGAAGGTGAGAAAGTTAGCCGCCGATCAAACGTTGTAGTCTCTCGTGATGGAGAGGTTCACCCCGGTTAGTAGGAGAGGAAGAGCCGTGTCTAGCGGAGGCGGGAGGAAGGCCGAGAACTCGGCAACGACGATCGCGACTGGCGGGGGTAAAGCGATGGAGAGGCCCCGACCCTATCCTCCTAGACGACCCGGGGTGTCGGGAGTTCGAAGTTGGCCGCTGAATTGTGGCCCAAGGAGGGACCTCGAAGAGAATGGCGGCGGAGCTCCAATGGTGAGGGTCGTCGAAGAGGAAGACGATGAACCGATAGAGGAGGAGCCAAAGGAGGAAAAACACCCGGGCCGGGCTTGAACGTGAGAATGCAGACGTTGATGTGACTAAAGAGGTGAGTGTAAAGGCGGTAAAATCTCTGTCGTAAGTCTTTTAGTTTATGCTTTTCGTTCAAACTATTCATTAGTTAATTTATAAGTTTGCGCGATATGTGTGTGAGGCACCCCACCGCCTGTAAGGGTGGAGGCACGCGTTGTGCTATGTATGAATGTATGATGTATGATTGTAATAGTTGGTTGATGGTAAGATGAACCCCCCGGGCGGTTGGGTCAGTACTGGACGGCGAGACGTAACGCAGTAGTTGATCGAGCATGGACTGGACGGCGAGACGTAACGCAGTGTCATTGCCGAGTGTGGGTATGCAACCGGACGGCGAGACGTAACGCGGTTGGCATACTAGAGTAGGGACACCAGACGGCGAGACGTAACGCGATGGTCCCTAGTGTTGGTGTCTATGGATTAAGAATATAAGTAAGGAAACTCTAAGGATAAGATAGGAGTAGATATCTCTTATAGACTGGTTTGATAACAAAGTATAAAGGATGAAAGTGAGAACGGCTTTTGTTTAAGTCAAGAAGCCCAAATAACGTGTTTTAGTAAGGATGATTATTTAAGAGCAGAAAGCGAGAATGGCTTTCGTGCTAGGATGGAAACTCTAATAACGTGTTAGTAGAAAGTTTACTTTGGGCAAAGACCTTAGGAAGTAACGACGAGACTGACCCCTTCTCACTCACCAGGTCGAGGAAGGGTTAGCAGAGGCGGATTTCGAGAAAAGGCAAGGCGAGGCGAGTAGCTGCACCAGCATTGATGAGAAGTCAAGGAACTCACGAGAAGTCAGAGCTAGAATAGTTTAATTTCTTTGTTACATGGTTAGGAGTGTAAACTGGAGATTCTGAGTTCATTCATTTTAAGGCTTGGGATTGTCATTTGCCCAAGTGTTCAGGCTTTTTGTTTGAAATTCTTAAACATTGTCGGTTTATTTATTTTAAAAAGTTGTTTGGGTTGCTCCGGAGTAACCGGTTTTTGGTTTGAGTTATGATTTGGTTTTCAAAAGGATCGGGTCGTTTCATGGTTGTTGGTTTTTGCTGATGGTTATTGGGAATTTGTCATATTCTTTTGTAGAATGCTCCTTACTTGTGTAAAAAGGATGGCATTGTGCTCCATTGTCCACATGTAAGCTGCATTGTTTAGAGGATGATACTTTTGGGAATTGTCTGTTACATGGTCTTGGATTTGTATTGAATTTCAGTTCATGGCTTCTTTTTTCAGGTCAAGGAGCCTTCTTCCCTCTAGGAAAATCCATTATCTGCAACAACTTCTTGGAAGCCTTGCGCTGAGCGTAGCGATGGTGGAAATTCAGGTGATTTGTGTTTCTTCTAACTGTGTTTCTGGGTTTATTAGATTGGTCTTCTTGGATAAGATGAGGTATGTCATCAAGTTAGGATCTTTGGTGCAAAATTCTTGTTATTGGGGAAAGAAAGATTTTGTTGTTGTGCCATGTATGTTATATGGGACAGCTCTGGGATCTAATATGTGACTTGTTTCCCGTTGAAAGAGCTGGTAGCTGAATGATTGTGAAATTTCAGTAACATGTTGAGTATTCTGTATGTGAAAATGTAGATGGGTTTATGCTAACTGTTGTCAGATGTCTATTGATTGGCCTTTTGGGGGTGTTGGATCCTTGGTAGTTTCTTTTTCTATTTGTTGACTTCGGTACTCCACTTCTCTTTGCATATGTTCCTCGTGAGAATGAAACAAATGGTTATATCTTCATCCATGTTGAGGGGGGCTTGAACCAACAAAGAATCGCTGTACAATTCTACTCCTTGAAATAAATAATTATGCGACTTCTTAATTTCTAGATAACATGAACTTGATACTTGCTATTTTTTATTTGTCAATACCTTTTCAAAAACCGTTGTCTTTTCTTGAGGAAATCTGTGTTATCATTTCAGTTGTGTTCTTTCTCCATTAAGATCTTACTTTTTATTTTTTGTCTCTTCATGTTAGACCAAGCTGATTTCAGATTGTTCATGTATTTGCATGATGCTTCAATGCACGTGAGCTTGTGAGATATCGTCTTTGCTAGTCAAGTTGGCTGGTTTAGTAACTATGATTTATAATGCATTTCCTTTGATGAGTTTGAAAACCTATGATGAGCAGCTTCAGAATGGCTAAATTCAACATTGATATTGTTCGGTGCAGATATGCAATGCAGTGGCTATAGCAAAAATGATGAACGCCACTCTGATTTTGTCTGTCTTGAAGCAGGACCAGATTTGGAAAGACCATACGTAAGTTTTGAGGACCATATTCTCATGCATGGAATGTACCCAAATAAATTATTTTGATACTCTTTTCAAATACGCGACCTCTTCTCATGCCAATCATTCCAAAATGCTGAATTATAAGATTGGTGATCCTTATAACACAGTCTCCTCAAACTATCTGCAGGAAATTCGAAGATATTTTTGACGTTGATCATTTCATTGATTATCTGAAGGATGACGTTAGAATTGTTCGTGATATACCTGTGTGGTTTACTGACAAAAATGAGTTGTTCACAAGCATAAGGTATGTGATAATTGAGGAATGCCTATTGTGTTGAATGACTAGATTGATGAATTTGGGACTGATAAATGTGGCTTTTCATTTATAGGCGGACAGTGAAGAATATTCCAAAATATGCACCAGCCCAGTTCTACATTGACAATGTGTTGCCTCGGATCAAGGAGAAGAAACTAATGTCACTTAAGCCATTTATTGATCGACTTGGGTAAGCAATAATTAATTTCCACGTCAAACTGCTCTTATAGAACTCTCTCCTTAAATTCAACTCTAATCTAGGTGCTTTGACATCTTTTTCCTTGCTTCTAGGTATGACAACGTGCCTCAAGAAATCAACAAGTTGAGGTGCAGGGTTAATTATCATGCGTTGAAATTCCTCCCACATATAGAGTAGATAGCTGACCTCTTAGTTTCACGGATGAGGAAGCGCACAAGAAGTCCAAATCCTTATATGTACGTCAATGCTGGTTTCTTATACGTTATTGAAGTGAACTCTAGTAGAAAATTTGCATCTGTCTAATCAAAATTTATGTGCTTTTGATTTGCTTGTAAAAGACAGGGCTCTCAATCTTAGATTCGAGAAAGGGATGGTCGGTTTTTCCTTCTGTGATTTCGTGGAGACGAGAGATGAGAAAGTTAAGATGGTTGAGTACAGGAAGAAAGAATGGCCAAGGCGTTTTAAGGTGCATTCTAATCATTCTCCACCATCTGTCCCATTTTTTTGGGAAACCCTGGAAGATCATCGAATTATAATCAACGGTTGCATATTGCAGAATAGTTCCCATTTATGGCAACTGGCTCTTCAGAAGAGAAAGGAAGGAAGGTGCCCTCTTGAACTAGGCGAAGTTGCAATGATACTTCGGGTAATGGGTTATCCTAAGGAAACTCAAATATACGTGGCTTTTGAGCAGGTCTACGGTGGTCAAAACCAAATGGCTCCACTGAGAAACATGTTCCCAAATCCTGTAAGCCTTGCCCTTATCATCTCTCAGTCACCCTAAAACCAAATTCATTCAGTTACCAGGGACCCTAAGCTATGATTATGAGAATACATGGTTTTTGGTAACTTGTAGTTTCTCTTATCTGAATCTGGTAGGAAACAATGTGTTTCAGTCAGGTATTTTTTGCGTTCAACAATACATGCAATTGTGGGTGATCCACCTTTACAATCCCTACAGAACAAACAATTTATTTTGACATCGCAACATATATTCTTGCAATCTATCTACAATAATATCATAATACATGGTTTCTGAACTTTGATGTATTCCATAACACAGCTACACAGATGACCCCTAACTTTTGTGTCTGCGCACTCATCAGGTAACAAAGGAGGAGCTAGCTGTTAGTGACGAGTTGACCAGTTTCAGGAAGCACGTGACGAGTTTGGCAACACTCGACTTTCTGGTGTGCTTGAAGTCGGATGTCTTTTTCATATGACCCACAGAGGCAACTTCACGAACTGATCATCGGAGCATGTAGGTACATGGGCCACCGTCAGAAGTCCATAAAACCAGACAAGGGGCTCATGTCAAAATCCTTTGAGGACCCTTACATGGGGTGGGCGACGTTTGTGGAGGACGTGGTGGTGAATCATCAGACGAGAATTGGGTTGCCGGAGGAGACGTTCCCCAACTATGATCTTTGGAGAATCCTCTGACTCCATGCATGGGTAAAGCTTAGACAACATATTATTCCTTCCCGAAAGCCTGATTTTGCTTGAAATGTTGAAGGCCGTGAGCGATTGAACACAAGAGAGTAAGTGCATATAAGAAGACGAGGAGATGAAGGAGACTACATCATCTCCATCTGTAGTAAGTTCATTTGGTCTCAGTTGCAGTGCCTCCTAGTAGTATTCTCTTACATGCGCCTATTCTCTTACAGGCAGGGCGCCTCTAGTGTAAGGTCGAGCCAAGGAATTGGATGCATTTAACAAAGTTGATGAAACCGAATGTATCCAAAAACCAAACAAGACTAGAGACAGATATAACATATTTTTACCTTCAATTTGATGTACTAACCTATCACACTGTAAATTACAGATTTCCCAACTTTCCCCATCTCCAATATGAACTTCAGTTTCCTCATGTCAGTACTAATCACTTCCATACTGTGTTATGATCAAGAGAGACAGTTGAAGGATTGAATTAGAAAATCATATCGATTTGGTATATGGTACACTTCAACTGATGTATTTAATTTAACCTGATGTGGTAGGAAGGGCATATCTGTTTACCGCAGGCAGTTATATCAGTTGGGTTGGCAGAAGAAAAGAAAGAGCAGTACGCTACGGGACAAAAACTAATGCGGTTTATCCTCAGCACAACCCAACAAAATGAGATGCGGAAACTTAGCAAAATCCATTAAAAGTATAATAGCTCAAAACAACTAACACTGTACATCTAGACCGTTTTTACTAGACTCAAATTTCTTATTCACTGTATTCTGATTGGTTGCTGGGATGTGGTGGGTCCTTTGTGTCCTCCTACCGTCGTTTGTGGTGTGTTCTTCCTTGCTTTTGTTAGGAGTGATCTGAAGCACGTTGGGTGAAAAATCGTGTTGGTTACAAGGATGTTTTTGTGGAGCAGATGATTTTTGGATGCTGGAGGGATGCTCTGGTTATGGGGACTTCAGTCATTGTGTTGTCCCATCGATGACTTTTAGTGGGAGGATTTTCACCTTGCAGAGGGAAGAGAGGGAGCGTATTAGCGAAGAGGGAGGTCTGGTCATGATTGTTTTCGCTGCAGAGATGGGGAGAGGGACTGAAGGTTGGTCGAGTAGCGCTGAAAGGCTAGGGTTTCAGACTCTGACAGGGGAGTTTGATGGAGACTGTATGCATCCATTTTTTTATTTTGATTTTCCTTTTTGACTCTTCGGTTTCTGAGGCATTATTGGGAGTGATGCTGGAGAGAGGGACAGAGAGGGATTTGGGAGAAGCAGTGACATTATTTGGGTTTGTGGCAGGTTAGAAGCCATGTATTTCTTTTATTTTGGAGAATGTTTGATTTTTCTTGCTCTTTGATTTCTTTTTTGGGATGTGAGAGATAATCAATGGTCTTGATGACCTCTCTGTATATTTTTCATTCTCGACAATTTGTTTGGGTTGGCTGTTTTTACTATTCATACAAACTCAAAAGAACTAACACTATACATCCAGACTATTTTTACTATTCATACATACTCAAATTTCCAATTCACTGTGTTCTGATTGGTTGTTGGGCTGTGGTGGGTCCTTTGTGTCCTCCTGCCGTCGTTTGTTGTGTGTTCTTCCTTGCTTTTGTTATGAGTGATCTGAAGCACGTTGGGTGAAAAATCGCGTTGGTCATAAGGATGTTTCTGTGGAGTAGATGATTTTTGGATGCAGGAGGGATGCTCTGGTTATGGGGATTTCAGTCATTGTGTGTGTCCCATCGATGACTTTTAGTGGGAGGCTTTTCACCTTGCAGAGGGAAGAGAGGGAGCGTATTAGCGAAGAGGGAGGTCTGGTTATGATTGTTTTCGCTGCAGAGATGGGGAGAGGGACTGAAGGTTGGTCGAGTAGCGCTGAAAGGCTAGGGTTTCAGACTCTGACATGGGAGTTTGATGGAGACTGTATGCATCCAATTTTTTTTATTTTGATTTTCCTTTTTGACTCTTTGGTTTCTGAGGCGTTATTGGGAGCGATGCTGGAGAGAGGGACAGCGAGGGAATTGGGAGAAGCAGTGACATTATTTGGGTTTGTGGCAGGTTAGAGGCCACGTATCTCTTTTATTTTGGAGAATGTTTGATTTTTCTTGCTCTTTGATTTCTTTTTTGGGATGTGACTTGTGAGAGATAATCAATGGTCTTGATGACCTCTCTATATCTTTTTCATTCCCGACAATTTGTTTGGGTTGGCTCATTTCCTCTTTCTCTCGCACTCCTTCAGTTCTTCTATAGCCGCATTCAATTTCACCATCTCTGTTTGGGAGATAAGCGAATCTCGAGCGATCAGTTGGCCGATTTAAGAGTGCGAGGGAGAGGAATCGAAGAATCCCCAAATCCATAGGTTCTATTCCAGTTTCTTCCATCTCTTTGTCGTTCATGATTTTTGCTGTCTTTTTTTTCGGTTCAGTCATAGTGAGTGTTTAATTTTATTACTTATGAGCAGAGATTTCGCAACGTTGGCAATTGGAGATGGGTGGATATTGCTTTGCTATAGCCAGTTCATTGATGGGCGACGGAAACTGTAGCTATACAGAGATGGTGATCGCAAAGTAAGGCAGGGAAGCCTAGAAACAAAGAGCCCCAGGTGAGCTTTCTTGCGTTCTCTTCTTTGTTTTTTGTGGAGCAAATAAGTTATTGACGCTAAATGAGCAATTATTTTTTGTGCGATACATTCTCATTCTCTTATCTCTACTCTGTTGCTCGCTCGCACAGAGCTAGGAACTCAACAGTCGAGCTCCTTAGCAGATACTATTGTTGATACGAGAATCTCTTTCTTCCGTTGCTGGTATATTATGGTTTGCTTTTGGGGTTTGACTGTGCTCAATTTTCCAATTGATGGATCTCTGATATATGTCCCCTTTTTCTCTCTTGATCTCTTTGTGAGCAGCAGATCCACTTAGAGGAGCCAGAAGATGCGACCTACGAATCGATTTTGTTTATGGTGACTGGTGATCATGGAATCAGAATAGTAAGCTCTTAGTCCTTGCTTTTCTTCCTTAGTTTGATTTTTCTAGATCCCTGATTTTTAGGATTTACTAGGGTTTTGAGAAGATTCAGAAACTAGGTTTATTTTGGTTTAATGAGATAATTCTCTCTCTCTCTCATGATTTTATTTTCTGATTCTTCGATGCTGGCGTGCAAGTATGAGCTTCCAGTGGTCGAAGGTGGGTGATTATAGACAAGTAATCCCTTTTATCGTTTTGATTCGAGGCTCCTTACTATGTTTGCTTTCTCAATATCCTTGTCACTCCCTGGGAGGAAAGTAGTTTTGGCTAGTTGTTTGGTACAGAGGAAGAGTAAGAAAGGGGAAGGAAGTCGAGAAAGAAGAGGACGAACAAAAGGAAGAAGAAGCAGAGGAAGGAAAGGGAAGTAGAAGAAAACAGATTATGATTATTGTATTCCATAGCCTTTGTTCAATACAACCAATCCTATTTATATGAAATCCTAATTATAAAATGATCCTCACATTATACCCTATTACACCTACATCCTGGTTACAAATCCCCACCTCTTGAAAATAGGCTTGTCCTCAAGCCTAGTGAAACAAAAATGGTATAACAACAAGGAATCAGTAATAGTCGGTATACAAGGAACTTTTGCAGCAACAATCAACACCAACTCGATCACTGTACGACTGCTACCCTGTAGTGCCTTCCTGCATTCCATACATGATGGGATTCGTACTTGTTCCCATAACAATCTGCGGCAAGCACAGCATCAAAAACTTGGCAGCCGTAAACTCTGAAAATTAGATGATCCACCAACTCTCTTCCATGAGAAAGAACAGCAGAACCCATTTGAACAGCCCACAAGTCTGCATCCCAATCAAACCACTCCACTTCCATGGTTAAAACTGGGTTGTACGGTTCTTTAAAATCAGGGCAGGCTCCTCTGCCGTAAGAAAAAACAAGCACAAAAATCAATTGATCAAACGGTTCATAATTCTTGTTGCCCTCTAGAAAAGGATCCTTATACGGTTCCTTGTAGCTTGGCTCTTGTCCCCTACCATGAGAATCAATGATAGGATAGTAATAACCCCAAGAATTAAGCTCATAAGCTTCACCAACCAATCTCCCAGTCACCTTACAGACACAGAACTTCCCAGTCTTTTGAGTGCTTTGCAATAGCCTCAAATCAAGTGTTTCTCGCTGCTACCACCCAATCACGAGAACAAGGAATCCTGTATAAACCCCATAGAAAGTAGGGTAAATCCGATACTCATGATACCAGCTACCATTCAACCTCCATTTCGATTGAAACTTCCAAATACAGAGTTCTTCATGCTAGCCTTCCATGAGAAAAAGATCTTTGTATGGCTCCTTAAAGCAGAAAGTTGGTCCCCTATCACAAAAATCAATAAGAACAAGGGACTGTAACACAGTCTCCTTATTGCCTTCAAACACCATGCACCCCTGTTGCAAATTCATATCAACCAACCCTCCAATACTGAAAACAAGGCCTCCTTATATGACTCTTCGAAACCATATAATCTGCCTCGTCTAAAAGAGGTCATACCCATTCCACAAGTCACCATGAAACCAATGCTGAAACTTTTGAGAGAAGCTACAACCACATCACAACAACCTAGACAATTAAGCTCATAGTCCTCACCAATTCGCTTATCACCAATGATGTTCCCAAAAGCATCATCCTTGTATGGTTCCTTAAAGTTGGGACTAGCGACCTTTCGTTTTGACTTTACCGGAGGACACCACAATCCGTGACTGCTCACTAACACCCAGCTATGATCCAGGTTGCCAACGTCATTCACATAGGTGAAAAACCCCTTATCCATCTTACTAGCACCCACTCTATAACGCTCATAATCACTGAAAATTGCCTCAGCTACAATGCCATCACATGCATTCTGTCCACCCCGTCTGGAAACCAATTTAAACCCAAGTTGTGAAGTATCTACTTTGTTTCCAAAATTAGAGGTTACAAAATGATCCTCAATCCTATTTGAGTTGATTTGTTGATGGTGGTTTGATGGTGAAATGCCACTTCCCTGACGCAATAAGTTGGATCGAATTCCTAAACTAGACTGGAGTAGACTACCCACACCTTCAGGGTAAGGACCATGGAACTTGAGAATAGCAACTTTGGCCATCTTCCTTTGATTATATCCAACATCTTCAATAGCAGCAACAATTGCAACAGTGTCAGCGACCTCAAAGTTATTGATACTCATGTTATCCACTTTAGAGTCACAGTCAATTGTAGCGTCTCCAGCTCTAAGTAACCACCAAGCTGAGATTGCTTCTTTCTTGTGCAGGTTGCGATGGCATCTTCCTCCAATTGAGCTTGATGGTAAGCTTGAACTAGTGTTTGGGGCTGCATCGCGAGAACTGCCTGTCTCAGTTCCTCTTCCAAGCCGCTAATGAAACAACTGATGAAGTAAATCTTATCTAATGCTGGATTAAAATGAGCCATCAGAGAACGCAATTCCTAAAATTTTACCTGATATTCTGCTAATGAACCCCTCTGACGAAGCTTATTGAACTCTGCCACCACACCGCCACAGGTGCTATTGCCAAATCTCTCACACAACGCTGCCACAAATTCTTCCCATAGCAACTCACGTCTACCAAATTTCCATCCCTTGAACCAATTATCAGCCCGACGCTCAAAGTTGATCACAGCTAGGCGCACTTTCTGGTCGTTAGGTATAGCATAAATCGCAAACAATTTTTCACATTTCCGAGTTCACTTCCTAGGGTCTTCACCATTGAAAGAAGGAAAGTCCAGGCGGGAAATTTGATGGTTATTACCTTGGGTTGGAGCCTGAAAGTGCTCCCGCTCAGCAATTGGAAGAATCGGAGCCTGAACCCTAGATGCCTGCACCACGGCAGGGTCAACTCCCCTGAATCCCTGCGTCGGAAGTGGAAGAATGCCTCGAACTCCATTCCGGTCACCTAGCGGACTCGCCGCAACTGTTATGGCTCCCGCTGGCCTTGAATTAACAACCAATTGCATCATATCCTGAATCTCGTGAGTGAATTGCCCAAAACGATGATCCATACGAGTCTCCATTTCCGTCAATCGAGTAGCCGAACACGCCTCAATGCTGTCCAATCGATTAGTCAAAGTAACAAACTGTTGTGAATGACCTTCTAAACAATTCATGAGCTCCTGGAACTGAGTAGCCTGCGAATTGACCATGCTTCGCACATCTGTGATCTTATCATTGAGATCCCCTTGCGCCTGCATCGTCCACGTCATTAAGCTGGTGAGACGCTCGTCAATTGTTCCCCTCGTATTCGCCATTGATGACTTATTGCCAAGACATGGCTCTGATACCACCTTGTCACTCCCTAGGAGAAAAATAGGCTTGGCTAGTTGTTTGGTACAGAGGAAGAGTAAGAAAGGGGAAAGAAGTCGAGAAAGAAGAGGAAGAACAGAAGGAAGAAGAAGCAGAGAAAGGAAAGGGAAGTAGAAGAAAACATATTCTGATTATGGCTAAATTACATGTTTGGTCACTCAAATTATACAAATCTTTCACGTTTGCCACCCGAATTACTTTTCTTTCTTATTCGCCACTAACTTTACGAATCGTTTCACGGTTGGTCACCGGCCGTTACACTCCGTTAAGTTTGTCCTATGTGGCAGTCAACTATAAAGTTTGACCGTTAACTAGATGATGTGGAAATTAAAAAAAATAAAAAAAAAATTTCTTTCCACCTCATCATTGCACTTATTTTGTCTATATAATTTATAATATTAATAATTTAATAAATTACAAAAATGGGCAAATCCAAATGCTCATCATCCTCACCCTCACCATCCACTCCCTCTCCTCCTCCTCCGTAGACGTCGACAACAGTGTCCCTGCCGAGAGATTTCTTCGTCACCCTTCTCCACTCTGAAGCTAGGTCCTCCATTCGTTCAATTTCCAGCGCGAGACTCATCAGAAAGAAATGGCTAGCCTGATGGATCATTTGTTCACCATCCCCGAGACCATGGAGAGGTTCATATTCCCCACCACTCCGAATCACTCCGACAACCACAGAGGCGGTGGGGCCGCGGCGGAAGCATCTGCTCACATTCACGCCGACGTTCTCGACTGTCCTAAGGAGTACGTCTTCTACCTCGACGTCCCCGGCCTCTCCAAGTCAGATATCCAGGTATTATATGCAAAAAAACCAAATTCAACCATTCCAATTGAGACTTACCTTCTATACCCTGCGATTTTACTCTGAAAGGTGGGAACTTTACATTTTGACGGAAGGTGACGGTGGAAGACGAGAACACGCTGGTGATCAAGAGCACCGCGAAGAGGAAGCGGGAGGAGGTGGACGGAGGCGTCGGCGAAGGAGAAGGCTGCAAGTACATCCGCCTGGAATGGCGGAGCCCTCAGAAGCTGATGCGGCGGTTCCGCCTCCCGGAGAACGCCAATGTCTCAGCCATCTCCGCAAAGTGCGAGAACGGAGTGCTGAGGGTTGTCGTCAAGAAGCATCCTCCGCCGCCCAAGCCCAAGTCCTTCCAAGTCGCCATCTCCTGAAATGAATCACCAATTTCACGTTGCTGCACTAGAGGAATAGTAGTAACAAGTAGCTCTGTTTGCTCCTCTGTTTTTCCGCTCCAATGTTGAACATCTTTAAATTACGGTGTACAATCAACACTGGATATGTATAAAAAGTGTTCGAAATCAATCAATCAATCAGTCATCGTTTTCTGCTGCTTTTTTCGCGAATTTGGCTTCTTGCCTTTGCCGGTGCCGAGCTTCTTCTTCTCCTTGTTTCGCGATTTTGGCTCCTTGCCGCCCCAATTTCACTGGGGTGATCAAAAAGCAACGACCCAAATCCCAACTCAAACTTGGATTTTCCCATTTTGTAATTTATTAAATTATTAATATTATAAATTATATAGACAAAATAAGTGCAATGATGAGGTGGAAAGAATTTTTTTTTTAATTTCCACGTCATCTAGTTAACGGTCAAACTTTATAGTTGACTGCCACGTAGGACAAACTTAACGGAGTGCAACGGCCGGTGACCAACCGTGAAACGATTCGTAAAGTTAGTGGCGAATAAGAAAGAAAAGTAATTCGGGTGGCAAACGTGAAAGATTTGTATAATTTGAGTGACCAAACATGGAATTTAGCCTTCTGATTATTGTATTACATAGCCTTTGTTCAATACAACCATCCTATTTGGGAAATCCTAATTACAAAATGATCCTCATTATACCCTATTACAACTACATCCTGATCGTTACAATCCTCCCTTTGTTTCTGCTGTTTCTTGGTTTCTAGAACATGGGTTTTGGCTTATCAGAATGGGATTCGAACGAGCGGCAATATTTCGGCGCTTCTCTTAATCCTCAACCAACTCTTCCCCACTTTGATATTTCTGTCTTCTTTTTTTCTTCTTCCCAGATTCAGTATAAAGATCCCCTAATTATCATGTTTTCTTCTTATCGAACTCTAGGTTTTTGTCAAGTTGTTGAAGCAGCGCATATTTGGAAGCTATAGAGAGGTGCGTAGAAGAGGCATATCTGCATATTTTGTACGAGGTAATTGTTTTTCTCACTCAACCTACTATTGAGTCTTATTTTTCTACACGGGTTGGCTTGCTTTTCTTCGTTTCTTTCAACTCTCTGACGGTTGTGGTTTTCCATTGTGGCAGCAGAATGGTGGGCGTGGATCGGAGAATTATATATTTGACCAAAAGGTAAAGGTGTTTGATGAGAGTGTGCTGCTGATGAATATGTGCTGGAAAAAAATATGAACGGAGAATTGATCCCCAAGCTGGTGGTTGTTTCCTGAGTGTATACAGACTTCTTCAGACAAGCAACCTGTAGGACACACTTGATCCACACAGATGTACCAAGATTATTTTACACCGATGTAATTAACAATTAAGAATGGCGAATTGGTTATTGATTTTGTTATTTATATTTAATTAATGTGTATCGGTAGGTTTTAATTAATGTAGTTTGTTTACCTTTGTGTTTGCAGGATCTCACAAGTTGGGAATTCCGTATTTGGTATTTCCAAGAAGCCATAACAAAGCCAAACCAGATAGGTAATTTGTGTGTCTATAGGTGGTATTTCATTCAACTATTAGCAATTGATTTTCATAGCTTAGCCATTAGCAATTGTTAGTGTCTGTGTGTTCATGTAACTATTGTCCCGTGAGGTTATCATTTGGGAAGGAAAGAGTGAATACATAACGATGTCTCATTTAAGTATAGAAAAGTCTTAGTTTGTAGTTGAAACCTGGTTAAATCATTTTGTAAAAGACTTTGAATTGCTCTAATGAAGCATTGTCGCGTTGCCGCTGTGTCTTAAAATTCAGATTGGTAAATGATACTTCTAGGTGCAACGTCAAATCTAACCATCATATTTCATACATTTAGGGGATGTTCATGTTGGAGTTCATTTGGTGATTCTTCTATGGCTATTCCTCTGGCTTGCTTTATGGATGATGTATTAACAGAGAACCTTAAGAACAATTCTCAGTCTCTGTTCCATTGTCGATTGAGGGTTTGACAAGCAATTCCAGGACCACGAAAGTACTCAACAACTATTGCAAGAAAAAGGTCGACAGTATAATTCAATGTTTACCTTTTCTTTTCCCGTCAAGGGTTGTGGATAAGACCCTTCCGTAAAATCCTGTATTCTTTGCGGCCATTTAATTTGCATCAAACACTACTATTTGTTGTTTAAACTTGGTGATTGCTGTCCTCTTGCGGATGGTTTTGGATGGCTCATCGTGTGGAATGCTGATGATGGATATGTGATTTTAAGTTTGATGTAAATAGAACTACGTTTATGGTTTCCATTCTCATCTTGATGGTTTGGTGGTTTTTTTTGTGTGTGTGGGTTTCCTTGAGTTGCAACAGTTATGTTAGGGCCTCAAGGTTTTTGGAGTTTGTTTATGGATAGATGTCACTTAAGTGCCATGATCTATGAATTTGTGTTCCAACGTGAATGAGCAAATTAAATGTATATATATATGTATTGAGATTGAGAAGCTTTAATTGGGTTTTAAACTATGGATGACTTGCTGATTTTTACTGTTAATTTGTTTGGTTTCCTTTCATTTTATTTAAAAAATTAGTCAGACATAAATCACACATAACACAAGATTAACCTTTCTCTTTTGCAGATGCATCACAAATCCCGGCGCGAGCGCGGGTATAAAAACTAGTCTTCTTTAAATATATCAAAGCAGTTTAGAAAACTAACCCCCACCACGTCAGCCTCACTAGATTTCCCGTGAGTTTCGGTGATTAATGAATTTTTATTTATGTTTTAATGTTTCCCAGCGGCCAACGATTTCTTATGATATCTTTCGTTCAATTGTTTTACTCTTCATTGTTTGCTAACTGCCTACTACTTGCACATGCTTGATGGTTCTATCTTTTTACGAATTATGCTTCCACAGGTTCTTTATTTTTCTTTTCTCCCTGTCTTCAGGCTCAATGAGAGATTTTTTATGATAATTAGTCAACCATAATTATAATTATTTACTCATTCAAATAATATTAATTTTCCTAAATTATTCTTATAAATATTTGTTTACCGAATACCTAGGTAAACATTTCTATGAAAATAATTATGAGTTTTGAGTTTTCTCACATATGCAATTAAACTTTCTACAAAACTTAGGCTATCCAATCCACATAAACCATAGAACCTTTCCTTTTCTTGAAGATTTTCTCTCATGATCATCTCGCTCATTCTTATCACCCGACAATTGTTCTATAACATCCTTTTAAGTTTTAATCTACAGTCTCAATCTAATTTCCCTCGAAATTTCTAATCAGCTACATCAGTTGGATTTCCACTCGCTAACTTACTGTCGTTAAATAACCCTAACTATAGACAGTAGGATTAGACAACGTAAGTTTCATAGATTCACCGGAGTATAAGTTCCAAGACATGACATGTCCACTATATTTTTCTTTGAATCATCATTAAGATAAATGTACCTTCCACTGTTTACCGAAAATTGAGATGCATGTTTTCCCTCTATTTTTTTTTCTTGACCATATTTGACATTTTTTTTATAATGACTATATTTGACTTTTTTTTTTTTATAAAAACTATCTATGTGCTTTTAGAGTATTTGCTACTTTTTTTATTATAATATTTGTTACTTTAATAACCGGATTATACATATACATAATAAACAAAAAAAGGGGAAAGCCGAAGAACCATAGCCATTGTCGTCACACTATCTTCATCTTTCGCAAGAAGCAAAACTGTTGCTTACACACTAAAATGTAAAATCAATCGATATCAACTTTTGCTTATAGAAATCTCTGCTCTACCATATGATATTTGAGTTCAGGTACTACTTACTCAGAGAGGAAACCTCTCTTGATCAGCGGGGAAAGATGAAGCCAGACCCTACCTGAGATGAGACGTGAGAAAACCAAAGCACAGAACAGATCAATTTCCACTTTCTCCATCTGTGTTTCGTCTCTTTCTGCAATAGTGTGAAGGAGTCACCTCCTCCCATTTCTTTTTTCTTGTCTTTTGCTCGCGTCACTCTCAAAACCAACTGCCGAAGGTAGATTAAACTGGATAAACCTTGTTCCTTGTGTTGTCGTTGTTCATAACATTCCACGCTCCATTTATATCTATCCGAAGAGGAAGAAAGCATAGGGAGCGGCAGCAGCTGCTAGTGAACAGAGTCAATGAAGACCACTCTCTCCTTGTTCTGCTGCTCACTGTCTCTCCTCTTCTGCTTCTATCTACCCAGGTACGAGTTTCTTGGTAAAGTTACGAGCCTTACTCTATAACCCACCAATTTTACTGCTAGATGCTTCCTTTTTTGGGCCATTGATGATGAACCCACAAGGATTTGACTTCAAAGTTCTTAACTTTTTCCGGGTTCTGGCTTCTGGGAAGTTGAAGAAAAAGTTTGTTCCTTTCACATTCGGCTCTGCTTAGCAAGTTTCAGATTCTTCTACCTTTTGGGAAACCTTGATTTCGAAAATATGCAGGGGTTCGTTATCTGCTGGTGTTGACCGATGTAAGTTGCCACCAAGAGGTTGGAACTCGTATGATTCCTTCTGTTGGACGATTTCTGAGGATGACTTCTTGAAGAGTGCTAAAGTTGTTGCGAAGTATCTAAAATCTCATGGATATGAGGTATATAATAGGGGTTTAAGTTACAACCAATAAAACTGTCTAATTCGAGGACCATTACTGAAAAACTCGGTTCAATTTTGTGCTTATTTCAGTATGTAGTGTTGGATTACCTTTGGTACAGAAGATTAGTTCCAGGCGCCTACACTGATTCTCTTGGGTTCGATGTGATCGACCAATGGGGGAGAATGGTTCCTGCCCCAGATCGATGGCCTTCTGCCAAGTCGGGGAGTGGGTTCGCTGAAGTTGCCAAGGAAGTCCATAGTTTGGGTCTCAAGTTCGGAATCCATGTCATGAGGGGATTGAGTCGACAAGCATTTGATGCTAACACCCCTATATTGGACATTAACACGGTACTCGATTAGCTTCCCTTTTCCACTTCTATTGCGTTCATAGGTTTTTTCATGACCGGGCCTTGTGTTTTGAATAGGGGCGTGCTTACGAAGAATCCGGTCGAGAATGGAGGGCTCAAGACATAGGGATCAAGGAGAGGAGTTGTGCATGGATGCCACATGGTTTCATGAGTGTCAACACTTCATTGCCTGCTGGAAGAGCCTTCTTGAGCTCACTCTATCACCAGTATGCCGAGTGGGGTGTTGATTTCAGTAAGTCTTTGAAAGTTCAACTTTCCTCATTCAGATCATACCCAACTGGTGAATCTTTCAGGTCTGAAAATCTTATAATTATCTCTTCTTTTTGTAGTTAAGCATGATTGCGTATTTGGTGATGACTTCAACCTAGAAGAGATAACATATGTGTCTGGATTGCTGAAGAAGTTTGATCGCCCAATCTTATACTCGCTCTCCCCTGGAACTTCCGTAACGCCAACAATGGCTAAAGAGCTGAAAGGATTGGCAAACATGTATAGAGTAACTGGAGATGACTGGGATTCGTGGGGAGATGTGGCTTCACATTTTGATGTTGCAAGGTGTGTTAAAAAGACTTGATACAGATTGTCTTTGGATATTCTTATTGCTTACTCGACAATCTTGCTTTAATGCTTCAGGGACTTTGCTAAGGCAGAAATGGTCCCTGGTGAGGGCTTGCTCGGAAGTTCATGGCCTGATCTGGATATGCTGCCATTAGGGTGGCTTACTGATGCTGGTAAGATTTGTTGTTAGATCTTGTTTCGGAGAGTTTTGACTTAATATACATAGACGTTGGTTCCTTTATATGAGTTTTTTTAATTCCAGGAGCCAATCAAGGGCCTCATAGGCAATGTAACCTTACCCTTGATGAGCAAAGAACCCAGGTAGGCAAGTATGCAAATGGTGATGGACAACAAATTGACCATTTCTTCATTGCCAAGGAAAACAATCTTACGAGCCTTATGCTTTGTTTTCTTCAAGATGACTTTGTGGTCGATGGCAAGGTCTCCGCTCATGTTTGGAGGAGACGTTAGACAGATTGATGAGACAACTTACAAATTGATCACTAATCCTACCTTGCTGGAGATAAACGATTATAGTTCGAACAACATGGAGGCATGTGAAGCTTTTTGCTTGCTCTCTTTAACGACCTTGAATGTCTTTAAGAAACCTTACTAGTTTGTGTTTTTATTGACAACAAGTCATGCTTGCATATGCAGTTCCCTTATGTTACAGGGAAGATACTGGGTCCAGCAAGGAACCATCTCATGAGGCGATCAAAGATATCTATGTTGAAACGAGTCAACAATCATCATACCCGGGTTGTAGGTGTTACGAGTTGCAAAGATCCCAATGCAAATGGTTGGTCGGTTGAATCTCTTGGTCAGTATCATGAACAGATTTGTTGGAGGAAGGAGGACGAGCAGCTAAACCGGGAACCATTATGTCTATACAAGAGGAAACCTCTCTTGGCTTCATCGTAAGTAGTCCATTTGGCATATTCATCTTAATTAGCCATTGCCATTATGTTTCTCTCCAGATGGTTAGAGCTAAAATTTGTCAAATATGTAGCAATGAGCATGTGCTTTATGGCCAAGATAACCGCCGATTGTTCACAAGTGACAATGGAGTGAAATCTTGCTTGGATGCTTCTCCAAGACATAAACTTACTTCCAGCGAGTGGAAGAAAAAGCAACCCTCATTCTCGACCTGCAGAGGGGATGCCAATCAGGTATATATATACCACCATTTTTCTTCTTCTCCTCGTATTGATCGTGAAAGGAAATTCGCTGCTTATTGCTGCAATGGATTGTCAACAGATGTGGAAGTTGAGCAGCAATGCCACTCTCAGGAGCAGTTACTCTGGCCTATGCGCCAGGGTAAAACAAGTTAAAGGTAATGGTCAATTGCATAACAACTCAACCTGTGCTAACAGATTGGTCACTACAAACTTATCACTGAACTTCAAAATAAATAGCATACTACTAATTTCATCAAGATTTTCATCCAAATTGTGGAGATTCAATCAGTATGTTGCATAGCCAGATAGAATAAATGATTAGAGTGGTTACAGGTAACGTTGGCTGAAATTTGGCAGAGTTGGATCAAGTGTGAGTTGTCGTCCATGTCAGCTAATTAGCGTTCATGCATACAAATCTATTGTTAATTTGGTTGATTTTGCATTAAATAGCCAGTATGAAATGCATGTTATGTTAGGATTTTCAGTGACTGGTCTTAAGTCGCAAACTTGTTACTGTTACTGATGTTCTGTTGATACAGCTAATGATGTCAGGACCAGTGGGGTACGATCCTGGATTGCAACAGGAAGACAAGGAGAAATCTATGTTGCTTTCTTCAACCTCAATGTTGAGAAAACATTGATCTCGGCCAAGTTGTCAGACATGGCCAAGGTGCTTCCAGGGAGAAACCTGGAAGACAAAGCAGATTGTAAAGGCAGAGAAGTCTGGAGCGGCCAGCGTTATGAAGCTGTGGCGGATTCGTTGGAGATGGTAGTGGATAAGCACGGTTGTGCACTCTTTACCTTGAACTGCAGCTAGCTTAGGTTAGTGGAAAATTATGTTGATGCTGCAGGAATTTTTTTTTTTTTTTACTACCAGGTTAAGGTAATAGGGAGAAAGAGAAAATAAAGGTTGAAGCTTTCTTTCTGTGTGACGCTTAAGAATCCAGAAAAGCAGGGGAGTTTTATGACTAGTCCTCTGTTTCCTCTGTTTTCTTTTTCTAGAAAACTTGCTGATGCAAGTCCAGGCCACATGCCACCTTTCTCATATTGAAAAGTGAACAAGACTAACTTCAACAATTAAAATTTTAAAACTAAAGAGTTGCACTAGTGATGATAACACATATAATTGATCGATCACATCTCTCCTCTATACCCTCCAGAACCAAAGTAATCCCTACTTCTTAAGCTAGCTAGCTGCTGGCTTCTTTGTTGCTCCAGCTTCGGACAGGAGCTGATTCGATGGCCAAGACCACCACAGTAAGCGCAACCATCAGCGTAGGTAGCGGTACCAACCACACCAAGCTCCACTGGGTCACTCAATTCTGCAAGAACAGGTGGAATCCTCTGTCTTGCTTCTTGCAACAGGTGCTTCAGATCAAGGAGCGTCGTCTCGCTCTGCTGCGAGTTTATAAACGTGGTAGCAAGCCCAGTCTTACCACATCTCCCAGTTCGTCCAATCCTATGGACGTAGTTCTCTATCTCTGCCGGCATGTCGTAGTTGATCACATGCTGAATGTTGGGGAAATCCAAACCCTTGGAGGCACCATCAGTAGCAACCAAGACGTCTTTCTTCCCCGCTTTAAACAACGCAACCGCACGGTCCCTATCCGTCTGCTCCATCTCCTTCCCATAAAAAGAGACGGCATCGACTCCCTTCACAAGGAGATACTCATGGACTTTACACACGGCAGCGTTGTTATCACAGAATACCACGACCGGGGGTGGAGTCTTCTGCAAGCACTCAAGAAGGTACACAATCTTGGCTTCCTGCTTCACATACTCAACTTCCTGAATCACGTCCAGATTTGCTGCACCAGCTCTCCCCACGCTCACTGTCACCGGCTTCACCAGCGCTCTTCGAGCAAACTCGTGCACTTTGGTGGGCATGGTGGCGGAGAATAGAAGGGTCTGCCTTTGCCCTTTCAAGTGGTCGAATATGTCCCTCGTGACATCCTCAAAATCCCCATCCACCAGCTTGTCTGCTTCATCCAATGTCAAGAACCTGCAAATGTCCAGCCTCATCTTCTTCGTCGCCAGCATATCTTTCAACCTCCCAGGAGTCGCAACAACAATGTGCACACCTTTGTTCTTCACAACCGATGCCAACTCCAATCGGTTATCGATTCCTCCTATACCGAGCAAACACCTTAGTTCAGGATAGCCACCATTCTCCGCCATAGGTGCCAAAAACTGCTGGACCACATCGTACGTCTGCCTAGCGAGTTCCCTCGTCGGACAGACTATCAACCCCAACGGCCCTTCCCCAGGCCCAACAGGCATCATCCATTCCTCCTGTAAAGCAATCATGATCAACGGGAGGACGAAAACGAGAGTCTTCCCGGAACCCGTCGAGCTAATCCCAATCATATCCCTTCCGGACAAGACAACAGGAAGCCCCTGCAGCTGAATCGGAGTGGGCCGAGAAATCCCCTTGGCCTTCAGCACCTCGAGAATTGGATCGGGGAACTTCATGTCTCTGAAGTTACTTACCGGTGGAGGGATCTCTTCTCCATCTACTACAATGTGCCATTGTTTCCGAATGGCATCGCGATCCTCGCTGGGCATTCTCCGGTAACGAAGCGGGGGTTTCCATCCGGTCGGCAGCGGCTCGGTATAGGCGATTCCCTTGGCCAGTTCGCTGACGGACATTAGGGGTTTTCTGCCTGATGAACACAAGTCTTGTATGATCTCGATTTCTTGTTGAACGAGCTGCTGTGCCCGAGTGATTGCGGGTTGCTTGCGCTTGAGCTGCGTTGCTTGAACAAGAAGACTTGGTGGTGGTTTTGATTCAGCAGCCGGTGGTTTATTGGCAGACGAAGACGGCGGCGAGTCGTCGTCATCGTCGAGGGTTTCATCTCCCAAAGCACAACTACTACCAGTATCCCTAATCGGCTTTCCCTTCCGCTGATGTCGAAGAAGGGTTTTTTTCGCCTCCAGAGCTCGGCGCTTTGCGACGGGGACATACTCCACATACTCATCCTCCTCCAATTCCATCATCATGGGGTCGATTTCCCTTCTGCACAGAATCAAAAGCGGCGACGAAGAAGTCCCGATTGAAGAAGCGAAAATCTACGGCGGAGCAGAGAAAACAAAGAAGCGCAGGAATGGCGTCAAATCAAAATCGGAACATATATATAGGGAGTGCATGTGCATCACTCTGTCAGTTTTTGGGCCGGTTAGTAAAGCTTGGCTCCCCTAGCCCATTTTCCAACTCCGAAACGGTTAATACTTATATACTATACTGCCATAGAGGTGGCAAATGGATTGGATTGGTGGATTGGTGGATTGGATTGGTGGATCCATGGATCAAATGGATTGGATCTAATGGATTGGTGGATTCATGGATTGGATCAAGTGGATTGGTGGATTATCCATAAATCCAAATGACATCCTCAACCAAGGACCAATATGTAAAATGTAAAAAGTTTAGGTACTAAAATGTCACAATGAAAAATTTTAGGTACCAAAACGTAATTTTCCAATGATATTTTTCGTATAAAAAATAAAATTTTAGGTACCAAAATGTAAAAAATAAAAATTATAGGTACTAAACTGTAATTTGCCAATGATCCATGGATCCAATCCATGAATCCACCAATCCAATTGGATTTGGATCAAATGGATTGGATTTAAATGGATTGGATTAGGTGGATATTTTTAATGGATTGATGGATTGGATTGGTGGATTAGATTGAAATTGCCACCTCTATACTGCCAGGTGGAACAAACGGTTGTATTGTTGTTTGATCTTCAACAATTTCTAAGTCTCTCCCATGTAGGATGTCAATGGATTGGGTGAGGGTAAATAGTTCATAGTCATTACTCTATTTAAAGTGGTTCGGTTTTTACTCATATCTATTGTCATATAATAATTTCTTAAAAATGGAAGAATTAATCCCAACATAAACAAAAACATGGCTGCATTATTTTTAGTGATTACAACCAAAATGAAGAGTTAAAATTAAAATAAGTATTTCATGGACATTTTAGTAAACACGTTAAATTAAATGAGGATGGAGAAATTATTTTCTAAAATTGGGGTTTTTTTCACTTGAAAACTTGTGTCAAAAGACTGAATATTTCACTAAATGTTCATATTGAATGAAAGTGTCATTTGTTCAATCATGTAAATCTTTTCTTAATCACTTTTTTATTTTTATAATATTTTTTCGAGATCAAAATTTTCTTAAAATAATTTCATGGATCGATTGGTTGGGTAATGATTAAGTATCCATAAAAATATAAAATGAGACTACCCTTCTCATAAAAGTGTCTGCATGTATTGAATCAATCATAATTACGTCCAGAGCATTTGAATGCAAATTGACGCTTACATTAATGGTTGTCAAGCCTTTGTTAAACTAATTAGTTGATTTAAGCTTTCTCCTACACGTCTGCCACTGGTGATGGCAATGGGGCGGGGCGGGTACCTCAATTCCCATGCCCCGCCCCACGCTACTACGGGTCGGGACGGGTAAAATCTGCGCGGGTACGGGGCGGGGCGGGTCGACCCACTCTTATATGTTGTTAAAAAAAAATACAAGTAAATTTTACTTTTACAATAAAACGTAGGGAAAAACACTTTAAGAATGAAAAATATTGATAATAGAATGATAATTGAGCCTAACAAGTTGAAAAATCGACTCTAACTAGTTGAAGAAAAGTCAAAATAGGAGAAATATGTATAGATATTGTAAGAAATTGAGATAAAATGAGCTTAGAACGGGGCGAGGCGGGGCAGGGCGGGTCGGAAGTAGATACCCATGCCCCGCCCCACGCTACTGCGGGTCGGGTAATACACGCCCCATCGCGGGTCAGGTCGGGTAATACCCGCGAGGCGGGTTGAAATTGCCATAACCTGCCACTAGGGCTGTCAGTTTGCTTTTCGTTTTGATTTTTCAATTTTAATCGAAACCAAATTGATAGAAAGTTTAATTTTTTTTTGTTTTTTTTTTAAATCAATTGCATTTTAATGGATTTAGTTAAGGTTTAAACCGAAAATCAATAAGCAACCAATAAAAAATTGATAACACCCTAACTAAATCAATACCCGTCAACAACACACGTTATCAACAATAAACATTTAATGTAAGAGAAAGAGAGGGGTTGAGGACGAGAGAGAGAATGGAGACGAGTGAGGTGTTATTTAACGTTATACTATCAAATATATCCATGGAAAAGAGAAAAAGAAGTAAAGAGAAAAACTGGGAGAGGAAGACCTCGAGGGAGACTGAATATATAAAATGGAAAGAGAGAAGGGATGAAGGGTTTTAGGTAGGGGTGGGCAACGGGACGAGATACCCGTCCCGTTTGAAACTGGTATCCATTCCCATTTGGAGAGCAATATCCATCCCATGTCCCAAACTCGTACGGGTTAACGGGTACCCATTACCCGTACGGGACGGATAACGGGTACCCATACTACCCGTAAATACCCGTCTAATTGGAAGTAGCAGCAGATCCACCCAAAATGAAAATTTGACTATTATAGCCTTCTCAGCTGTTTCTCTTCTAGTGTCATTGTGATCTTGAATTAAATGTGTAGGAAATTTCACTATTGGATCTGCTGCATCTATCACTATATGTTGAATGTGGTCTCGTTACCACTCTGGCCACATTTCTAACAGTTAGTAGCATGAGACCACTCATTACCACTCTGACAATGTTGGAGAGGCTAGTTAACAGGGGATGGCCAGAAGCTCGGTTACTCCTTTATGGTTCCTGTCCTAATTCTTTTGAAGTTTCAAAGAGTGATGTTGATGTCTGCCTTGCAATTGAAGATGGTGATGCGAGAATAGCTTTCTCTTTGCGCACAACTATATAGAAATTTCATTTCCTAGGTCCTTAAGGTATATGCAAAGATTAACAAAATAGGAATGTGGTTAAATGGGTCAACCGTTATGGATCTGGAACCATAAAGAATCTGCTGCATAGGTTTAGTAGTGGCAGAGTTACGGTGGTAGTGTTTGGGAATTTGGACTAATGGGTATAACGGGTACCCGTAATACCCAAACGGGTATTAATGGGTAACCCGCGGGTACCCAAAGTAATAATTCTTGATCCCAAGTCCCATCCCATAAAATAAATTACGGGTATTTGGGTACCTGTAATCCTCAAAAAAGGGGCGGGTATTGGTAAACCCAAATACCCGTTTC